AATACCGCCACATGCTCAGGTCGCCGAGTGGTGTCACGAAATAACAACCCAATCTTGCCCCATAGCTCTGAATGTTCTCCTGAAGGAGAAAGGTATTTCTGGGACCACCAGCCGTCGTGCACCATCTTATTGTCCATCACATAGGCCACGTATTTTGTAACGATTCGCAAAGCCACCCAGACAATGTACCGCTCTCCTCTGGGTACAATTTGGACCACACCTGGGAGCGCACCGAAAGGGTTGACCCGCGAAGTCATATTCGTTTCACCCTCCATCATCACCAAGCCGAGCCCAATACGACGGAAACGTTCATCTGCTGATTCCTGGCCGCCACTAGCGCCCCCGAACAACAACGCGGGTTTGTCGCTCTCACCTGGGCCCAGTACTCCGTCGTCGACTCCATCATTGAGGTCAGTGCAGAACAACGCCCCCTCGTATTGTGGCTCAGGCACCACCGTCCAGGATGCTGGCATGGCCCCTCTGAGCCAGTGCGCTGGGGCCGACTCGTGCTGGGCCATCGCGGCCAAATACCACTCATCAGTCTTGGCATACATAGGGTGATTCACATTCTGATCACACTCCTCCCATTTCCGATGAAAAGGTGACTCACGGACCTGATCCCCATTAATCGGTTCCCGCGGCTCGTCTCGCGCTGCCTCCTTGATGGCTGCGAACGCCTCTGCCGGCCGAGCCTCCTGGGACGCGCCCAGGTGGCCGATGCGTTCTGACCACTGCTGAGAAGGCTCACCAGATTCAGACAAAACATTGGCGACGCGAGAGACGGATGGGCTCGAGGAGCACCCGCCGCTCGGCTGTGACGCCCCAGCAAAACATGGCGTGGCCTGCGGGGCCTCCGACAACACGCTGGCGACTGACGAGGCGGCAAGGTTCGAGGAGCACCTCCCGCTCGGCTCTGACACCTTGGCAAACCATGGCTTGGCCTGGCTGGACTCCGACAAAGCGTGGGCGACTGGCGAGCCGGCTGGGTTCGAGGAGCACCCTCCGCTCGGTTCTGACGCCTCAGCAAAACGTGGCTCAGCTCCCCCGCGACGTCCGACTGAAGTCCAGAGCTCTGTCCACTGCTTGCCTTTCCGATCAGGAATATCTCTGGGGTGCACCGAGACTGTGCTTCCGAACCAGACCTCCTGTGCAGGCAGAGGTTCTTCGCGCGTGCTCCAATGCGGCGTTCCCAAAGCCTCTCGAGACGTAATCCACGTGCGAAATGCTTGCAGTGACTCCCCGACCGCCCTTCGCAGCGCACGTCTAGAGCATCGATCTGCTTGCTGCTGAAAACTGCCCACCACAACACCTCGGGTAGCCTCCAGATTCAGAAGCAGCCCCGTCCAGACGTTCAAACCTGCATCCTTCTGATCCACGAGAACCTTGTCAACTCCCTCTGGCCTCTCGGAAGCGAGATGTCTGGCCGCCTGCTGCGGCTGAACCAGTTGAGTGCGTCCGTTATCTCTGCCACGATGCCGCTCGAATTGCGAGAGGACTGAAGCCGCCCGCTTCCACCAGCAGGCGACCTGGTCTCTCAAGGGAGCGGCCCGAGACCTCGTGCTCTGTTTGACCGGTTCTTCCACGAATGTACGCCCATTGCCCCGACAGGGGCCTCTAGGTGGGGCGACCTGATGGCGAGCGTTAGTGACACCCTCAACAGTGTTGACCCACTGCGAATACCATGAGCTCAAAAAATTATCATGGTCAGGATTGAGCCTACGGGGGCAAGGAAGTGGGGGGGAGGGGGAGGGGCATAATCTCCTAAATGCTGGGGCCGGCGTTGCTCCCACACATCACCTGGAATGAAGACGCTGAGCTCAACCTTCTCTTCTGGCACTTCTGAGGGGTCAGGTTCAACCTGGCGCACCAATTCACAACTTGTGGCTGGGGGGGGGGGGGGGGGGCGCTGCTCCCGACAGATTCGACAGACTGCGAGCTACCTGAAGGCTGAGGATCTTCTCCCTCCGAATTGACGACGATCGCAGGCGAGCGAACTTTTTCGGTCGGCCTGCAGGGCCCGACAAAGTTGGGCTCGTTGGCCCGCGGGTCCTCTTCTTCCTCGTCATGCTCGAGGGGGGGGGGCCATCGCCAGGGGCGTCGGTTTCATCGTCCTGGGAGGGGGCGCCGACGCAAACAGGACCAGGAACTTGCGAATTCAACGCATCGCCAAAAAGAACCAGAGAATTCTCCGAACGCTTCTCGGCTGCCACGGCGATCTGGGTCGCCTTCTGGTTCTTGGCCGCGGAGGCCTTGGGCCCAGGGCTTGCTTTCTGCAAGGGGCGGGGAACTTGGGGCAGACGGCGAGCACGCTCCAAACGCCGAGTCAGAAGTTGTTGACCAGAAGCGCGGAGGGTGATAGCGAACCCTATGTGCGGGCGCCAGGGGACGTCCAAGACAGGCTCCAACTTGATGAGGTAGGGAAGCGACGCCGCGGAGACTACCGCGTAGTCGACGAGGCTGCCCTGCTCGCTCGAGTCGCATGTAACTCGAACGCCGGGTAGAACGACTCTGCCGTGAACTTGCCAAAGGAACCCACTCTTGGACAGGATATCTGGTTCCATATTCCAAGCGCCCAAGCAAACCCACGGCAACTGGAGAGTATTGAGGAGCCCTGAAATCTTGTGCAACCTTGAAATATTTCGGCCAGCGAAGCCAATCGACGAGAAGCAGCACAAGGAGTAACACCATTGAGAAACCCCTGAAGTGGAGCACGGACGCAGTGAACCCATCCAGCGCGTCGCACCCCTCGGACTTGAGCCCCCCCGTCAACTTGGCCTCCGCCAGCGGCTCGACATGCAAGTGGCCGCGTGCAAGGTTCCACTCACCACCTTTATTCGCGCGGGCCATCTGTTGCTGAGCACCGCGCCCCGAAGGGCGAGCCGCATTGTATATAAGTTTCAGCTTCTTCTGCCGGGCCTTGGTCTCCCAACTGCGCATCTGACTCGCGCCGACGTGAGTCTCAGCACGCCCCGTGATGTCGAACCTGGCCGACAGGTCTAGATAGCGCGCCCATGCGCGGCGGTCATCCATGGCCGTGACGTTCGCGAAAAAGATATTCGAAATGGGCTCTGAATCGGACGAGCTCGAATTTGGTGACAAAGCTGGCGCCAGCGCCTCCGCGTCGTAGCCGCTGGGCTGCGGGGCCACAGGCGCTGACCGTCAGGCGGTCGGCGCGCCCCCCTGGCCTTTGCCCTTGGCCATGGCCGCCGCAGCCGCCTCGGCCGCCGCGAACTTGGCCGCCTCAGCGCGGAGGGCCTCCTTCTCGGCTGCCGCAGCCTCAGCGTTGGCCTCCGCTGTGGCCTCCGCCGCCGCTGCGAGTGGCGCCCCGCCGCCGCCGCTGCCGTCGGCCCCGGTAGCTCCGCCACCGCCTGCGGCCGCGGCCGCGCCGACGCCCTCGGCAGCGCCCGCGGCGCCTTTCCCAGCAGCCTCAGCGTCTGCCTCCTGCTCCTCTGCGTCCTCCTCTGCGACGCGACGCCGCTTGGCCGCCAAGCGCTTGGCAATCGCCTCCTTGGACTTCGCGGCCTTGGCGAGCCACTCCTGCACCTCCGCGTTCTTCGCCTGGGAGCCTGCCTGCATCTGCTGCGAGCTGGCGTGGATATGGTTGAGCTCCTGCCTCTCCGCCTCTTCGCACTCGAGGCTGTCCAAGTCGTCGAACAGACTGGTGCCCCATGAGACCGAGAAGGCCTCGGAGGGCTTGGACTCGGGAAGTCCCTGGGGCTGCGGCTGTGCCCCCAAGCCCTACGCGCGCGCGAGCACCTCAGCTGCCCGCTTCTTCGCAACTTCTGCTGCTGCCAACGCCTCTGCTGCTGCTGCCTCTTTGACCTCGGCTGTGGCCAGCGAAGCACGTAGGCGACGAACATGGGCAACCAACTGATCATGTTTATGGTTACAATCTCGATAATGTCCTTCAGCACGCTCGTAACTGTCGGCCGCCGGTGGAGGCGGCTCAGCAGCAGGGGCCTTCTTCAGGAGTTCGATCCTTGTATTCAACAACCCTTTGAGCTCCTGATCGTCCGTGCTACGCATGGCCTCCATCAGGTGGTCCGTGACACTGACGGCCGTGATCCACGGCGCCTTGGGCGGCACCTGTTCCTCTCCCTCGGATCGATCTCCCAGACCTCAGCCTCGTCAGCGAACGAAGCTCTGCCTGGCGACGATGACCTGGAGCGAGGACCACCTTTCTTCTTCTTGGGAGTGAAAGGTGGCACCTCACGCTGGCACTTGGTGCACCTGCCATTGGTGCGATCGAGCACGTCATTCCACTCGCACTTGCCGCACTGACAACGACTCCACAACCTCCGCTGACGCTCAACGTACCCCGACATGGCGAGGTAAGAGCGTGGACTGACACTCTTGCATTTGTCACAGATGACTGGGTCCGCCGCAGACCGCTGCTCTGTGTGCCTCAAGCGCTCCGAGCAAGCACAAGCGTCGGCACAAACAAAATGCTTGGGCCTAGGTGGCTTGAGGGAGGAGGAGGAGGAGGAGGAGGGGGAGGGAGAGGAGGAGGAGGAGGAGGAGGAGGAAGAGGAGGAGGAGGAGGAGGAGGAGGAGGAGGACGAGGAGAGCGTCCTAGCCCCGCCCGGTTACTTACAGCTCGACGGATACGGGGCATTTCCCTTTCCAATCGAGGGCTCCAGCCCGAGTGGCACGCTTGGGGGGCGCCCGTCATTCAAGGGGGGGGCGTTGACCTAAGGAACGATAGATAAGGAACGAGGCCCTTGTTTTCCCATATAGTAAACGCCGATTCTCCATGGAAAACCTCAGGACAACCCAAGGAGCACTGTAAAGCAACTAAGGAACACGGAGCCCCTTTCCAACAAAAAGGGTTTCTTCTTCAGGGCCCCGACTGTAAGGGGGTGCCCCCTGTAGTGAACAGGAATGCCTCTAAGGACTCATGAGGAGGGGACTTGGGACGGGCTGGGTGGTACTGCAACACTATGTACGCATTCCGGGTTTGCTCTTGCCCACCTCCTCGTCCTGGCGAATGCCCCGCTGGCCTTGGCCTGGAGGGCCTTCGCCACGGCGTCCGGGAACGTCATGGCCCCCGCCCGCTGCTCCCAGTCCTTGTCAGTCCCCTTCCTGCGGAGCAGAACCGCCCACTCCTCCGCCTCCCTCCGTCCCCTCCTCCTCCTCCTCCTCCTCCTCCTCTTCCTCCTCTTCCTGATCCTCTTCTTCTTCTCCTTCTTCTTATTATCCTCCTTATGTTTCTTCTTCTCCTCCTCCTCCTCCTCCTCCTGCTTCTTCTTCTTCTTCTTCTTCTTCTTCCTCCTCCTCCTCCTCCGCCGCCCTCCCCCTCCCCCTCCCCTCCCCCCTCCTCCTACTTCTCCTCCTCCCCCTCCCCTCCTCCCCCTCCGTCATCCTCCTCGCTCCTCCTCCTCCTCCTCCTCCTCCCCCTCCTCCTCATCCCTTTCTCCTCTCCTCCTCCTCCTCCCCCCCCTCCTTCTTCTTCTCCTCCTCTTCCTCTTCCTCTCCTCCTCCTCCTCCTCCTCTCCCCTCCTTCCTCTTTCCTCTCCTCCTCCTCCTCCTCCTCCTCCTCCTCCTCCCTTGCATATACACGCTTCCCATATCCTGCTCCCCCTCTTCCCCTCCACCTCCTCCCCTTCCTCCTCTTCCTCCTCCTCCTCCTCCTCCGCCTCCTCCTCTCCCTCCTCCAGCATCGAGCTACGATACATCGAAGATCGATGAATGAAGCCTCTGCAAATGAGTTGAACCCGAAATTGGGTCTCGGGGGGCCCCGTATGCGCCTGGGACCTCCAGGGGCCTTCGTGCCCCAAGAGGAACAAAGGGAACACGAGGGCACCTCGAAGCGGACACGCGCGCGGGGTTGGCGGCCGAGCAGGCGGGGGAGGGGGAGGAGGGGAAGGGCAGGGAGAAAGGGAGTGGCTGGAGATGTCCCATGGTCCTGTGGGGCTCGAAGGAGTGCAAATGGCTCCTCCGCCACCTTCCTCTTCGTCATCGTGGTCTCCGTGATAGTCCTCCTCCTCGTCCTCCTCCTCCTCCTCCTCCTTCTCTTCCTCGTCCTCGTCCTGGCCCGCCGCCAACTCGTCGGCGTCCTCCTAGTCCTCCTCCTGCCCCTCCTTCATCCTCTTGTTATGTTTCGTATATTAGCATCATTACTCTTCGTCATTACTCTGATTCTTATCTCCCATAATATGACTATTCATGTGTCATTCCTTCCTCGCGGCTCAAAGCCTTCCGAAGCTGGAAAATTGTTCCTGTCGCTCGGCGGGCCTCGGTCGACGACTCCGAAGAGTGTGGTGTGTAATCCGCAACCTGGGGGGCGGGCGATGAGTACCTCGACAGAGTTCTCCGTCGCGCCCCGAGGAGGCCCGACGAGGGCAGCGTGGTACCCCCGAAGCGCCAACCGACGCGACTAGTCACCGACTCGGGCCCGTAGTGTCTAACACGCCGGTCAAAAAAGGAGCACACCTGTCTAGTGCTATAAATTCAGCCGCAAATGGTGCAACCGCCCCGACGCGGTAGAGATAGCCTCCACAGCCAAAGCTTCACTCACCGTTCCGCCTGTGGTGTCCCAGTGCTCTTCCCAGACTCGTGCTGCTGCTGGACATGACGAGCTTCGCCAGCCTCGATCGCAATGAGCCAGAACATGTGCGCAGTTCCTTCATTCCCCTCCTCCTCCTCCTGCTCCTCCTCCTCCTCCTCCACTTCCTCCTCCTCCTCTTCCTCCTCCTCCTCCTCGTGATCTTCGTTCTCGTCGCGAGTGCGCCTGCTCCCGAACCTGACCCCTCTTCTTCCTGGTGGACTGCTCGGCGCCCCACCGCGCCCGCGGAAAACTGCAGCGGCGATGAAAACAAGGCGGGCAGAGCAGGCATGGGAGATGGGAGAGCGGGGGACGAGAGCAGGGGGAGGCAGAGCAGGGGCAGGGAGGAGCAGGCAGGGAGAGAGAGCGAGAAAGAGAGAGAGAGAGAGAGCGGGGCCGACGTGACCCCACTCCTCTCCTCCCCAGCGATATGGCGGCCGAGCTCCTCCAGCCCGCCAGGCTGGTCGCCAGAGGGCGGCAAGCCTTGCGGACAGACGCCTCTTTCCGACCTCCCCTGGGGGTCCCCCTCCGGGTGTGCCTGGCCCCGTTCTGGTTGGGGAGCCTCTGGGGCCACGGCGGCGAGAGAGGAGGGGAGTGGGAGCGGGGCAGCAAAAGATGTGAAGGAGGACGGCGAGATGGGGTGGGAGTGGAGGGAGGGGGAGGGGGAGGGGGCAGAAAGATTCGCAGAGGATTGAGAGGACGGGGAAGAGAAACAACGGTATCTCCCTGTAAGATGAAGCCAAGAAGAGGATCGGGTCGGGTGAGGATGAATCGATAATCTCAGAGATTCTGCGGCTCTGGAGGCTGTCTCGGGCGCCGCGGCCTTCCAAGAGCGTTCCGGAACGCTCCGAGAGCGGTCCAGAACTCTCTGGACGGGATTCATCCTCGTCCCAGCCCCGTCAGACCCTGCTTGCCCTCCTCCCGCGAAGACGCGCGCACTGCGTCCTGATGGCGTCGTAGAGGCTCTCGACCCCCGGGACGGTGGCGCCCTTGATGTGCGGGTGGTCGATCGGGTCTATGTTGGAGTCGATCATGGTGGCCGCCTGCGCGCGGCGTCAAAACGACATCTCCAACGCAGTCCGGCGGCCTCCTCATCATTCGCCTGCCAATTCGGATCAGACTTTTGTCGGCAGCGCGCACACAAGGCGGTAGTGGGAGAAGGCAAATTTCTTAGAAGAAGGCTGCTTCTTGGAAGCGCCGGCCCCACATCTACAGACGAGGCCCGCGCCTTCTGAGAAGCAGGGGTGCTTCTAAGAATCCTTCCCCCATCCCCCATACTCCCCTCTGCGCGTGGCGGGTTCTGGGGGTCGAGGTCACCGGCAAACCAAGGAACAACAGTTATCCGATAAGACTGCTTGGCCGGGCGAAGACTACCCAAAGGAATTGCACAGGAACCGCCAAGGGAAGCATACTGAGACGAATGCGCCTTCGAACAATGATCATCTAAAGAATTGGGCGTACCTTTGCTTGACCCCTGAAAGCGTGCCCCCGATTAGCACGTGAAGGACCTCAACCCCCAGACGGGGGGTAGGAGGACGAGGAACAGCAGTAATGTCAGGACGAATACGAACGCATTCGCCAGCCAAACGGGCCGAGAGTGAGCTAGAGTCTCTGGAAGGATGCTCACCGTAATGCTACATTATGTAAATCGCGCGCGCGTGGTGGCCTCTGGCCTCTGGGTGTCGCCAGGGGCGAATCCTGCTCAAGTCCGCCGCCCGATACCAGAACTCCTGGGCGCGGCCTGAAAAGCCGCCAAGCATCCGACCTCATTACAGACGATACCTCCACGGCGCATCCCACACAACCGCTGGCCTTTCAGATCGCCACGTAGGCTCCAACATGTTTCCTGGAAGTGCCAAGAGCGCCCCAAGACGGCTCCAAACTGCCGCGAACCACCTTGAAATAGTGCAGAACAAAAATCATCAGTCAAAGCCCGTAGGTTGTTCAACGTGCTTCTCCTCCGTACCACTGTCGCCCTCCTCCGTGGGGTTGCTCCCTGGCGTTGCCCTTGGTGCTGCCGCGGGAAATGCTGGCACTGTTGGCGGGGCCCTGGCGGTCACATTTCCTTGGGCACCTTGGGCCGCAGGCGTAGTCCAGGAGCTGGGCGCTGGAACTCCTGTTTGACCTTCGTCGGGTTGCGGCTGGTCACCGAGCGGAAATGTGTCTGCGACGCGCGCGCCAGCTCTGGCGCATCCGCCCATTGTTTTGGTGATGTTGCCAGGCGTCATCTCGGATATGTGCTTCTGGCGTGGCACTAACTCCAACCAATCATCGCATTATTGTTGAGTTCGAGTCATAATGCCATTGAGGGGCTGCAACAGAAGAGGCCACTTCGCCCTGCGGTATCCGCAGCGTTCGTGCAGAAGGCGGTGGATGAAAACTGAAAGTTGTCCTAGCTGAGTCGGGCGGTATCTGCTTCCATGCGTGCTGTTTCCCATTGGTCCGGAACGCGATCGATGCCTGTGAAAGGGTGTACTCGAATGTCTCTGAGTTCAAAGCCCTGTTGAAGCGGCCGTTCGTCAGCAAAGCTTTCAAACACTTGTACAACATAGCACTAACGGTATATAACAAATACCATGTGCGTGCGGACCCCTTTGGCTACAGCACCAACAGTGGCCATTGCCTACGGGATGCGCATGGCGAGAATACGGGCGAGGCCTTGTAGGCCTCGTTGGAACGCGCTTGCTTGTTGAGATGGCGTCATACGGCCTGACTGTGCGTCGAGCCGTGCGTGAACTTCTATGGTCCAGACTCGGTGACGCGCTGACCCACCAGGGTCCCACGTAGGGCCCCGGATTTGGTCGCCTTCGCGTTCACGACTCACGTGGCCAATGATGACGTCTATGGCTGCTGCCGTTAGCGTATACCACCAATCCCCGCTGGTGCACTCGGACGGAAAACGTAGTCGAGGTAGTAGTGCGTCGGGATGTAGTGATGGTGCCCGTCGTGTTTCCACGAAAGGCTGGCGACAAGAAAAGATCGCGACTCGGCGATCCTGTAGGTAGAAACATATCGGGGTCATTCGCGTCACCGCGGATGGCGTAGATGAGGTGGTACTTGAGGAAGTGGTGGTGGTCGTGGTGGTAGCGGTCGAGGTTTTTCGCGCGCGCAACGTAGAAAACGGAATCGATGTAGTAGTCGTCGTGGTCGCGGTCGAGGTTCCTCGCGCGCTCGATGACGGTGTAGTGCGGAGAGTGTTGCTTGTGAGAGAAGGCCTTCGTTCAGGCAGTCGAGTCTCCTCGCGCGTTCGAAATGTAAGTGATCGACGGGGAGGGCGCAGTGGTCGCGAAGCGGTAGATACCATTGATGTGAGACTCCATGACGGAGTCCAGCATTCTCTTGTTGTCGTCCTGCAGATGGCGTCGAATGTCATCACGCCGATGGCGGAGGCGATAACAACCGCCGTGGCTGCGACAGCTCCACTTATCAAGTGAGAAACGAAGATGCCATGCCATAGTGGTTATAGTGGTATGGCGAAGGCAAAAATAAGAAATGGCGATGGGAAGAAACAGTAGCTTTTTCTCTCCCAGCGCCTCATATCGAGAGCACAAAGGCCGCCGCTCTGGCAGGTCGGGCGGCGCTGCCTTGAGCGGGGACAGCGGCGGGTAGGCGAGCATGTAACGTCCCCCCCTTAGGGCGTCCCCTAAGAGTCAAGGAGACCCACCGTGATCCAAGACGGCCCCCAAGAGGCCAAAATCTTTCGAGAACCAAGAGGTGCTACATTGTTTTTGTATTCTCGCCTCTTTGATGTCGGTTGGCTTTTGAGACCTCAAGATGGCTCCCATATCGCCTAGGACCAAGAGGAGCCCAGAAGGGCTCCCAGAGCGATCCGGGAGGGCGCCCAGGAGCCCCGAGAAGGCCCCCAAGAACGCACCGAAAGAGATTCAAGAGGGATCCGCGAGGGCCCAAGATTGGGAACCCCCAAACCGGGTGGTGAGATACCAGGTGGCGACCTGGAATCCCCAAAAAGGTCACCGCTGTGTTTGGGGACGCGGGGTCACCACCGGGTTTTGTGACTCCTGGACCCACCAGTGTCCGGGACATCCTCGGAAAACCGCACGAGTCCCCAAACCGGGTGGTGACACCAAATCGCCCGAGACTCACCACCAGGTATTGTCACCACCACGTTTGGGGACTACCAAAAGAGCGGGGATCCACGGGTGGCTGGCCCCGGGATGGCCCAAAGGTGGCCCAGTGCCTGCTGCGGTCCAAGACGGCCCCCCAGGGCGGCAGGCCTCCGCGTCGGTGCGGGCCACCAGCACCAGGGGCGAGTTCAGCACGTCGGCCTGCAGGCGGCAGGCGATCAGGCGCTGGATGTGCTCCCAGGTGGACACGAGCACCTGGGGCTGCCCGGGGGGGGGTGGGGGGGCAGAGGGTGCGCTCCACCTCCTCTTCCTCCTCGCCGTTCTCCTTCCCTGCCTCCGTCTCCCCCTCCTCTGCCTTCCCCCCTTCTCGCTCCCGTCGCCCTCCTCGTCCGGTTCCTTCTCATTTTCGTTCTCCTGGGGTGGTGACCCAAGAAGGGTCCAGCTGAAAGGGGGTGGTGCAATAGATTTGGGGCGATTGTATTGCAAACGTATTGCGCCGGAGAATTGTATTGCATTGCATTGCAAGTAATGTGTTGCACGCGGAGGTCCAGCAACACATTTGCGCCCCGGAATGTGCTGCACGCCTCAGACGTACTGCAACCCCACAAATCTATTGTACCAAACCCATTGCACCACACCATTGCCGCTGGACCCCCTTTTGGGTCGACCCGAAAGAAAAGGGGAGGACCAAAAGGGGGTGTCAGACAACCCTTCGCGCAGCGAGAAGAAGCCACAGCGGGCATCGCTGGCCACCCTTTTTTCTGGGGAGCCCGAGCGCGTCGGCAAAAACACAGCTCGGGAGGATAAACCTATCCTCTGGGGAAGAAGAAGACGCCGTGCTCGTCAGAGATGCATGGGCAGGAAAAGTGGCGCCGACGCGACGGCAGCCGAACGCCGTGAAACACGTCGAATATTTTATCGTCGCCAACACTGTAGGGCGTATTACGTAAACGAAAATAAGCACTTGTGCATACACATCCCGCTCGCCTGGGAAGTGGGGGGCTGACTTCTGCAGGAACTCACGCCGTGAAAAAGTGACGCCGTCGGGTTTTTGGTGTGTGGGGGGGGGAAGGCAGGAGGGGGGACGGCGGAGAGAGAGGAGGTCACCGGAGGCTTCGGGGAAAGGTTCCAGGAGGGGGGGGGGAACGAGTTTCGGTACCCTGGACTGCACTCCCCTTTCCCCATTCGCTGCGCCTCTCCACCCCGGAAGGAAATGGGGAAATACGAAGGGCGGCAATTGGCAGGAGCAGGAGGGCGGAGAAATGGAAGAGAGGATGGAGAAGAGGGAAGGAATGGAACGGGGAACGAGAGGGAACGAAGGGAGGGACAAGAGAAAAGATAATTGAGGAAGAGGATGAGACTGTCCTCTCCAATACATTCCAACCGCTGCTGCTGCTGCTGCTGCTGTTCCTCCCCCTCCCCCTCCTCCTCGTCAGATCCCCAAACCAAAAGCTCAGACAACTACGCGCATGATCGACCGTGGTTTTCACAATGCGGCTCTCGCCTTAGCGTCGCTCACATTCGTGCAAAATTCTTGCAACGACTACATGCGCTTCAATCTTGCCTCTCCAATTTCATCACCTCAAGCGCCGCCCCGCTATCCAATCTGGTGTGTTCATGCCCCTCACAAATTGCCGTGCTTCAGACGTAACTCGCTGCAACCAACCTGCCCATCTCTGAATGCCACCGCGTGTCATGATAACGTGTCGCCGTCCGACGATAGCTCTTACCATTTTCAAGTGCACCCGATGCAGCTTGGAAGCCCCTGTCGGCTGTCACTATCCAGTGCCCGCCGCTGTGCAATCATATGGGCTGGTGGAAATTAGTCCAACAAATCCTGCTTGAATGCGCCAACCTTCGCCGGTTTTTTTGTTGGTCCCATGCATGAGCTCAGCTTAGTGGACAGCAGTCAATTATGGAGCCCCCTCCAACAACATAACTAGGGACCTATGGATCCAATAGCCAGGGATGGTGACCCAGTGGTGCTCAAAAACTCGGTCCTCGCCATAGCGACGCGCACAGTCGTCTTCAGAACGTACGGGCTGCTACTCGGACGGAGCCTGGCACGCTTTCGCATTCAGATTCCGGCTTGCCGCCGCACTCGTCATACAATGCGGGCGCGGCCGCAAGAACCCCCTGCAAGAAACCCAACCCTGAGAACCCGTGCGCGAGGTGCACCTGAGGGGAAACCTGGAGCACTCTGAACGCAGCAGCTCCTTCAAAGGCTGCGGGAAGTCACCGCGCAGCGCGAGGAGCGAAGAAAGCCAGGGTTCCCCGTCGAGAAGCACATGAGTTCTTGAGGCGCGCCCCCACTGTAGAACCCTGCAGCAGCCCCCGACATCTGGCCGCTCCCATTGCCTCGATGCGTGGGCGGCCTCGGAGGTCTGGACCACTTCCCCGGGGCCGGCTCTTCAGCCCGAACCGTTTTCTGACGCGCTCGAGGCCCAGCGAGGGCCCCGGCCGCCTCAGTTTTCGTGGAGCGTCGGCTCTCTGGGGGCCACCAGGATGGAGACGGCACCTTGTCGCAGTGGGGCCCTCGTGGTGGAGACTTCCCTGAAAAACAAAAAGCACCGGCGGCGCGCGGGGGCTCCCTGAACCAGAACGAAGCAAGAAACGCACGCTCCGCAAAACCGGCAGCCTCCTCACGGCCGCGCCGCGGCGGACCACCCGTGATGCCCACGCCCTGACAATCCCTTCTGGCAACGGCGCCGAAGCCCACGCGAGAGGCATCGAGACCGCCAGGAGAACTCCCCCATGGCTCCTGGAGGCTCTTCCAGGGGCCTCCTGGATGGGGTCCAGCGAGATGGGGTCGGAGGATCGCGCCGCATCGCCCAGGCATCGCCGATGCATAGAAAAAACCATATATTCAAAACAAGGACAATCCGCCGACCCCTTGGGGATCATCGGCGTGTGAGATTCTTCCCCCTCCCCAAACCCCTCCCCCGGGAGCCTGGTCCGGTCGATTTGGAGGGGGGGGGAGGGTGCCCGGCCGGGTTCCCCGGCGCGGCCCGGGGGGGGTCAACCGCTCCAGAGAGTCTGCTGGGGGGGCCGAAAACGAGCCAAGAGGCTCCCAAGAAGCTCCCAAGACGGTCCAAGAGGCCCCGAGACGCTCAAGATGGCCTCCAGACGGCCCAAGATGCCGCCAAGACGCTCCAAGAGGCTTCCAAGAGGACTCCCAAGAGGGCTCCAAGAGGCCAAAATCGTTGATTTTCATTTGTTTTTTTCACGGTTTTTGGCCTTCTAGCTTTTTTGCGTTTTCCGACGCTCCAAGACGGCGCAGGAGGCCCCCAAGACGGCCCCAAAACGACCGAAGATTCCCCCAAGTGGGCCCCAAGACGGCTCAAGAGAGCGTCAGGACGGCCCAGGAGGGCCTCAAGACAGCCCAAGAGGGCCCCAAGAGGGGCCCAAGACAGGCTCCAGACGGAGACCACGAACCTAAATTTCTACCTCTCCGGCCCAAAAGGCAACCAGGAGGCCCCAAGAGGCCCCAAGAGGCCCCCATGAGGCCCCCAAGAAGCCCAAAAGAGACCCCAAGAGGCCCCAAAACAGCTCCCCAGAATCCTCCAAACTGCCTCTCGTAGGCCTCCGAGAGGATTTTCACGATGGCGCCCTTCCGTCGCCGCCCTCGTCTTTCGCGTCGTGTTTGCCTGCTGTTTTTCACCCTCGTCTGTCGCCCCGTCTTCCCCCCCCCCCCCCCTCAGCTTTCTGTGTCATCTTCCCTCCACCACCTCACCTTCCACCCTCTCCGCCTTTTGCTCCTCGGCCCAAGACAGCCCAAGAGGCGGCCAAGACGGCCCAAAAGAGCCACACAACGCCACAGGAAGCACCAAGAGGCCTCTAAGAGGCACCACGAGGCCACCAAGAGGCGCACACGAGGCCGAAAGAGACACCTCTGAGGCACAAAATATGCTTCAAAGCGGGCTCCCAAAGGCACCGACACCGACACCAACACCATGAGCGAAGGCGACGCGCCGCGAGCCCCCCAAGGGGTCGGCGGTGTGGCGTAAGCCCAAGAATCAAGAAGTGAGCAATAATAGAAAAGTCGTCCCCATACTATTGTTTGGACTATTTTTGAATAGTCCTCCCGTAGAGGGACAGGCCCGAGTTGAAGATACAAACATGATTATGAATCCGAGTTCTCCGACCCCTGAGCGGTGTCGCGTGCCTCGATCAGGGGGGCGTAAGACCCGGGTACAGGGGACTCGGAAATCCCCGACGAGGTCGTCAAAAAAATGACGAGGCCGAGCCTGCATTTTGACGCGGCCTCCCGCTGCAGACATCCCACGAAACTCCTACTCGTCAAAATCCGAGTCGCGGTCGTCAAAAAACGATGGCGAACCCGAGTCCTGGCAAACCCAGGTTTTACGCTCCCCCGACTCGACGAGGCAGCTGCCCCTCGAGGCGGAGGGAGGCCGCCGGGGCACGAGGAGCCACCGCCTCCTGCAGCAGGAGGAGGAACAACGCCACGAACACAAACGTTCGGCGCTCCGCGCGGATTCCTTGGATCCGCGCTGGACCCCCCTCTCGGGCCGGGCGAAAGGGGGGGATAGCAAAGGGGGGGGCTTGAGAATCAGCTCGCGCAACCGATTTTCCTGGCGCCTCCTGGCGCCGGAGGCGGCCATGAAGGCATGGGCCCGGCGGCGGGGCCGAAACCAGCTGCATGCAGCAGATTTCGTACCCCCCCCCTTTCCCTATCCCCCCCTTTCGTCCGGCCCGACCCTCCCTGGCGCGCGGAGCGCGCCAGGGGCGGCGCCGGAAGCGCTGCCGGGGGGGCCCAGCGCGGATCCGAGAAATCCGCGCGGAGCGCCAACAATTTATGCTTATGGCGTTTTTGTTGGGGCGTTTTCCGACTTCTTCTCTTTCGGAGCTCCTCCTCGCGGCGGAGAGAGGCCGCCGCGGCAAAAGAGGAGTCCCGTGAAGGCCGGCAGGGCTCTGGGAGGCGGAAGGGCGGAGGAGGAGAAGGAGGCGGAAGGGCGGAGGGTACTGAGGGTACTGATGACGCGGGGTGGGTCTACACCCCCTGGCACGCAGGCCAAAAACAGGAGGCTAGCCTATGCTATCCTCCTCATCCCAATCAGCCGGATCGACTTCCCGACGGCGCTGGTCACTCTCCCAAGCAACAAGCGCCTCTGGAGTAGCGAAACCGTGCAATCTAGCAATCTGTTGGGGTGACAAGGTTGGAAGCTCAGCGATCGCTGAAGTCGGGAGCGGCACCTCCGTGGCCGCAACTGGCGCCTCTACAGCATCACTGTTTAGACCCACGTCCCCACCAGCACCACCCCCACCAGGCTCAAAGCCAAGCAAAGGACCCCAAACAGCCTTCATATCATCTGTCGGCCCGAACGGGGTGCCCACAGTGGCCTTCCCCAGGTTGTGACCTGGGAATAAACCACGCTTTAAACGCGACCTCTGGGTCTTATACCCCGTATGGCCTGATCCCTTGCAGTTTGCTTGAATGCCTCCCCGCGCACTCTGATGCGCCGAGGCCCCACAGCACTTACAAAAAATTACATCGTCGAGAGCTTCCCCATCTTCAGCCTGGACCGTGGCCTGGACGATGGAGTGGTTTCTAAGCACCCAGGGAACCCCAGATACATGGAGGAAGTCCCTGGGTGCAGGATGAGGCGGAGGAGGCGGAGGCGGAACGGGGGAGGACCCCGAAGCTCCCGCGGTGCCGGGGCGCCGTTCGATCGGCTGCACTCCTGCTTGCTCGCATGCCTCTAAAAGGGCCTCGGAGTATTCATCGTCGAATTGGATGTCCGCAGTGCCGGCGATGCCCTCCGAATCGGGCTGCTCCAAGGCACCGAAAGCAGCCTGGGCTCGGCCATGCCACATAGCACAGTCTCTCACAATCCGCTTGCAACCTGAAGCGAACAAAGGCCACTGCTCTGGGATTCCCCACAGCAAGGCCCCTTTCTTAGCATATTTGTCGGCCATCCTGTTTCCACGAACAATCCACACGTCATGATCGGTTAAAGCGGCCGACTCTGATGTGTGGGCTTTCACTTTATGAACTTGGGCCTGACGGCCAATTGGGCGCCCGAGTTATCCGGGATAACTCGGGTCCGGGGTAACTCGGGTTTGGATTCCCGGAAAAGGAACCCGAGTTATCCCTGACCCGAGTTACCCCTGATGATTCGGGGCTCTTGGACGCCCGATTCATCCGGGATAACTCGGGTCCGGGGTAACTCGGGTTTGGATTCCCGAAAAGCGAACCCGAGTTATCCCTGACCCGAGTTACCCCTGATGATTCGGGGCTCTGAGCCAATGCCGGACCACCATTCCCTCCAGAGGTGCTGCCTGGGGTTGTCATGGCTCAAAGCTTCACCGGCGTCGGTGGCACACCCGACGGTCCCGAGGCAATCGCAGAATACCTCTAGAGGATTCTCGGGGTCCCACTCCGAAAAACGACTGAGCATGAGAAACGCGTAGTCCTCGCCATCTCTAGCTACTTGGCGCGGGGCGCTAGCTAGGGGTACCACCCCATACATGGCTCCTATGAGCTGCCCTGCCGGGTCTACCGCAACGACCGCCCATCCAGCCCTACTCAGGCCGGCGTGAGCGGTGTTAAAAGCGCTTCCATCGACGAAGACCTTCCCCGAAAATTTTCACCCAGGGAAAACCCCGACAAAGCGCAACCAGTTTTCCTCGGGAGCTTCGTCGCGGGGAAAACAATACCTGGGCGATGGCCACAGGCAGCGACAAAACAATTCACCAAATAATTCACTCAGATCCTGGACATAGCTGGCAGCTTGCTTGACGTGTTCAGGGCAATCTTCGCACCAGACGGCGCTAAGCCTTGGACAATCATAAAGTCGATGGTGCAACGTGCCCCGTGCTCCACAATGGGCGCATCGGTCGTGGAGCGCCTTCCCCTGGTCATGCAGCTTGGCTTGGGGCCAATGGCTGCCTCCCACCAGCGATCGAATGGCACTACGCATGTGGGCTGTCCATCCCGCCGAATAGGATCTGTTCAACACGGCGGACACGGGCGCCCAGTGAAGAGGCGAAACCCAGGCACCTTCCAGGCGCCTGAGCGCTGCAACATCGGACGCCGCCATGGCAGCGTCGCGGACCAAATTCACGAAGAATCCAAGTGAATACTGCGGGATATCAAAATCTTCCCAAAATGGGTCCCTATAAACTGTGGCCGCAGGCAGTGTCGCGCCGACCCTGGCCAAGGAAAGCAATGCAGCCTGGGCGGGATCCACCACCTGGGACCAAGGCCGGGCCCGACCAAGGATAGCCTGACCGGCCTCCAAACAAGCTTCCAAGGGCCCGCGCCCAGGGAGAGGGGAAACGACCGACAGGGTCTAGTGCTTTATAACCTCTACGGCGTGGACCACCCATGGGCCCCTAGATGCACCTCTAGGCGTCGCTCGCAGCCGAAGGGCCACCGACGTCCCAGGAGGCACGCGGCCCTCCGCACGAAGGGCCGCGACTCGTAGAGAATGCTGTCTGAGCTGGACTACACGGGCGGAGACAGACTTGGCCTTAGCAAGCCTTTTATCTTGCTCCTGCACGCTGCGGCTGGCACCGCTGCTGGTTTCTGTCCCAAGACAGCGACCGGCATGCAATTTCTGAGCAGCATCTAGATCCCAGCGTTTCGCCTGGTCTGGATCAACATCTGGAGTGCTGGTCATATATCCAGTCTTATCCCAATTGACTTTGAGTTTCTTGTGTTCGAGGCCGGCCTCTAAATCCATCATGGCCGATGGAAATTGCTCCACAATCTGCGCTCGGCCACCGATCGCCTGAAGAAGAAAATCATCAACGAGGTTCTGGAACCTGACCTGCGGGTACTTCCGCTGGAGCTTTTTGATCAGTGTGTGCACTAGCAGCTTCGCTGATGCGAGCGCGTTGCTACAGCCTGCTGCTACCGTACCGTTGGCAACTAAAGGCTCTGAGATAATCGCCTCCCATACGGCTCTACGTGGGAGGCGATGCCCAGCGCGCAGACACTTCAGCAAACGAATGGGGAGCCCCGTGAGCAGGGCCTCCTGGGAAAGATCTGCATGCGAGATGTGCTCATAATATTTGGATAAATCAAGCAGTCTGCTGACTGCAGTGAAACCCTTAAGCCTAGCAAATCGTTGCACTAAGTTGCGGACGTGGCCCGCGCGATCGCAGGTGAGGCCAGTCGAGCCCCAAAAAGCCGAGTTGTCCAATGAAAGCTCCCACCTGCGTACAATAGGCTGCCGGAGCCTGGACCAGACCCCCCCCCCAGATTGACGAGAGAACGATGGGGCGGACTCCCCCGGCAGGGGCAGGCTTCCCAAGGAAAATGACAGGGAGAGTCCACAAGTCCAATGCTTCGGGGTCCTGCTCCCACCTAAGCAAGATGTCAATGAATGCCTGCTTATACAGACCCGGCAACCATAAAATCTGCCTGGGATGCAATCGATCCCAACCTAGTCCCGTGGAGGCGGGATAAGAAGTTAGCACTCTGTCTAAATCCTCGACGGTGATTTCTGGCAAATCTTCCCAGGGATCCAAGGCGCTAACAAGACCGAGGCCTTCGGAGACATCGGCCCGCGGCTCCAAACCAGCCAAAACCGAGGAAGCCAAATCAGGGCCCCAGTCCCGTGGGTGCTGCTCACCGTCGCGTCTGGGATTATTCCAGAGAGGCTCCCACTCTTCTAGCAAAATGTCCACTGCCTGCTGCCCCGCAGCCGGCATCGCAGGGACATCGTCGCCCCCTGGCACGGAGATCTGGGTGGATGGGGTCGGTTCCCTAACGAAGGCGTGAGCAGCCTTCCCTCCCTTCTCCGCGGCAGCGGCCTGGGCCCATGCCCTCCAGGCAGCGCTCCTGGCCTGCCGATCCGCTGTCTGAAGGCCGTTGACGTGATCCCCCACCCCCTCCAGAAACTCCAACGCACCCCGCCCTCCGCCCCGGAGCAGACAGATAAGGTCAGAGATGGAGGAGGAGGCCCGCGGCAGAAGTGGACCTTCCAATGGCCAAGAGATACAAAAGCGGGCAACAGTTTTGCACCGGCGCTCGAGGGCGGCTAGTCTTGGACAGCCCTGCTCCCTAGCATTGTGTGCGAGGCAATGGAGGCGCATGCCCGCTGACAGAAAAGACGTCCAAGTGCGAAGCTCCAGGGGCGATCCCTGGCGAATGTCTTGCTTCCAAGCCGTCTCGAACGGCTGGTGCGCTACTTGGAACCCCTTGCTTCTCCTTTGCCAGCTCGACTGACACCGCGGTTGGATGTCATGGAGCTGTATAAGATATGATTCAACGAGATCCAGCCAGGCCTCGCAAGCAGGCCCCAACTCAGAAAGCAACTCTGTACCGATCTGCCACGGCCACTCCCGTGGCTCCGATTCCACGGGGGCGGGCCGGACTGGCAGCGGTTTCTCCGTGGGGAACTTTTTCGGGTAGATCGCTCTAGGAACCTTGGCCTGCCTGTGCAAGCCTTGGAAACGAAAGGCAACAGGACAATGCGTCCGCGAAGGCGCCGCCTCTACCATCGCCACCTCCGCGACGAAGGGGGCGATCACGTTGCTGCAGATTGCGAAATCCAGCTCCCGGCTTCCGCACGTGGGCTCCCCCGAGCAGAGGGCTCGTCCTTGCGCCTTCTTCGACCATGAATCCAACTCTGGCGGAGTCAGGTTCCAATCGCCTGCTATCAGCCAAGGGCCCTGCAAAGACCCCACATGCTGCATCAGGGACTCCAGGAAATCGAGGTTCTCCCCCATGAACCCGATGCTGGTGGTGAGGTACACCGATATCACGTAGAACGGGACGTTGAGGCCAATGTTCAACATCATAGCGGATACCCGATGCCCCGGAAAGGTCGCAGAAGTCATAAGCGAGCACGGTGAAGCCGTAATTCTCGACAAAATCGCGCATCCCCCGCTGGACTCTGTGAGTCCCGCTCCAGTGGACTCTGCCAGATGGAAGCTGTGGTAGAACCCCCTGTCCGATGACCATTTGTGAGCTTGGTTGACCTTGCCAGCCTCCTTGAGCCGATGCTCCTGTAGACAAAGTACATCTGGGAAACGCAACTCGGCATCATGCCGTGCCCACTCCAGCATTGATTGCGCCGATGCCCACGTGCTGGAGTTGAAAGACCAAACCGTGAAAGACGAAGTACAATCATTACCCACGTTTGGGTTTCTTGGCAACCGACTGGATTCCATCAAGAAGTCGCTTGACAGCTGATGGGTCGGAGACGTCCACGCCTGCTGTCTTGAGATGCTCTTGGAGGTCGGGATCTTGGGCGTCCAATCCCATGGTATCGTCTGCAGGCGCTCCGCCAGCAGATGCTGGCTGGGCGCCGTCTGCAGCAGCGGCCCCAGCAGCAGCCCTACCACCTGCATCAGGCGGCCGAGCAGAGGCCTGCAACTTGGCTTGGACCTCCGCCTCCTTCGCGTCGGCCATCGCGTTGAAGCCTGAGATATCGAAGCCGAACCGCTTACTCCCGCTTTCGAGGACCTGCTTGAGGAACACAAGGTGCTCAAGGTCCAGCTTCGGGTCGAGGTCGGCCTCGGGGCCGGCGACCGCGGGGAGCACCGTCTTGGCCTGGGCGGCCTTGACGTGTTTGTCGATGTCGGCGAGGGCGGCCCTGTGCCGCGCGAGCTGCTCCACCTCGGCGTCGTGGTCCTCGCGCGCCTTGCGCAAGACCTTCTCGGCCTCTGCGACACGCTCCTTGGCCGCCTCGATCTGCTTCTGCTTCTAGACCTGCCGCTGCAAGAGGTCCTGCAGGCTCTTCTTCGACAGGTCGGCCGGGGCAGACTCGGCAGCTTGGGCCTCGGCCAAGGAGTTCCGCACCTCACCAAGGACCCGAGACTCCTTAGCCACGCCTGGCTTCTCGAGGAGAGCCAAGAGCTGGTCGTTGGTGAACTTGTCCTCGTCGGGCCACTCCTGCATGGGCTGCTGCTGAGCGGTCCGCGGGTTGTGGACCGAGGTCCGAGGTGGTCCCCGACTCCATTCACCTTGCGGCGCCCGCACTTGCCCAGCCTTGGGTTGCCGGCGCTGCTGGTTGAGGATGTGCTGGGGAGCCTTGCCGCCGCACCGCCAGCACTCCGAGCGGAAGCCGAAGTTCTGGTGGCGGCACGCATGGGCGCGGCACGTCCACACCTTGATGTGTTGCGCCTGCCCATGGCTTGCCATGAACGGATCACTGAAGGTTGGCTCTGGCCCGCTGCGCCACTTCCAAGTGCGCGGACCAAAAGGTTGCTGATTCAGCTCGAAACCTGGAAATGGCTGCGGAAGGGCGGAGGAGGAGGAGGAGGAGAAGGAGGAGGAGGAGGAGGAGGAGGAGGAAGCTGAAGGCCTCCCGCAAGCACGCCGCGCCGTGAAGGTCGCGCAGCAGGGGCGTGCAGAAAGGGGCGCGCGGCCCTCTGCGGGCGGCGCTCTTGGGGCACCCTTGAGAGCCTTGGGAGCGCTCGTGGGGCCATCGGAGGAGATCGATCAAAGAAGGGGGGGTCCTTAATTAGGGTCCCCCCTCCAGGAGGCCAAAATGAGGCCAAAACCTTAGCAAAACCAATGATTTCGGTTTCCTCGCCGAGGCCGATTTGGACGCTCCAACTACCCGCGTAACCCCCCGTCCAGGTCCAGGGGAGGGAGTTAAGGGGGAGGGGTGAACCCTCTCCCCGAAGGGGAAGAAGGAGGGGTGGAAGAGGAAACCACCTACGCCCTAAAGGGCTGGTGGGATCATACTCGCCACTGCATAGGGGAAGCAGCGTGCAAGCTCAGACGCCTCAGTCCGAGCTGTCAGCAGCATGCACGTCCACGCCCTCCTCAGACCTGGCAAACTCCTCGCACAATTGGCGACGTTCGCAGGCGAGCGCAGCGTCGCTGTCCAAGACAAAGCTTGGACGAAGATAATATCGGGTCCTCCTCCTCCTCCTCCTCCTCCTCCTCCTCCGGATAAATCGATCATCTCTGAGGGTCGGCAGCTCTGGGGCTCCGGGGATGTCTTGGGCGCCGCGACCTGCTCAGAGCGTTCCGGAACGCCCTGAGTGCGTTCTGGAACGCCCTGGAACGGATTTATCCTCGTCCTAGCCCCGCCCGAGGAGGGGAGGGGGGTGGGATGACAAACACTAAACCGTTTGCCGTTCGAAGCGCTACTCCCCGCCCCCGGGATAGGATGGTGGGGGAACGGCCCGCTGCAATTCTGGATCCCACTTTATCGCGCGCCCAATCCCGATACCCCTGGTCTCCTCCTCGCTCCCCCCCTCTCCCCCTCCCCCCCCTTCTCCTCCGCGTCCTCCCCGCCGTACGATGCTGGCATCGCCCCCTCACATACCTCCCGCGCCGTGATTTCATTCACAGGCTGATCCCCCGGAGGTCTCGACCCCTCTGGCTTGCCATCCCGAATCGCTGTTTGGACGGCTCCCGGCAAGGGCCCCCCCCCGTAGGCGAAAACAGCCAAAAACCTTTCGGCGTGCCCACCGGTCGGAAGAAGTGGGCAGAAATTTGACACTCGGAAGGCGCCTGAAATATGCTGGAACCTGGGCATCCCCCAAAAATGCACATTCAGCGACGAGCGGGTGATGCTTTTCGCGACGCGGGGGGGGTCGAGCGGCCCCCCTGCCCCTCTCCTCTCTGTGCGTTGCACCGGCGTTGCCGAGCGGCGACGCAGCGTCCGAGGGCGCCGATGCTGCGCTGCCCCGCGTCACGATGCCCTGTGCCATCAACTCTCCTCCCTGCCCCCTACCCGATGCCCGGTGCCCCATGTTGGGGTCGCCTCCCTCCTCTCCCTGACCCCCCCGGACGAGGAGGAGGAGGAGGAGGAGGAGGAGGAGGAGGAGGAGGAGGAGGAGGAGGAGGGGAGGAGGAGGAGGAGGAGGAGGAGGAGGAGGAGGCCTCCATTCCTTTTCCTTATGCATGACTTCTCCCTGTCGCACCCCGAGGCCCTTTCTATGGGCGGTCGGGGCATTTCGCCAGAGACTTCCTCACCATTGATGATCCTCAAGCAAGTGGCAACAGTTTCACATATGGAGGGCGGGCCGTTTTCAAAATGTGGCTCTCGCCTTAGCGCGGCGCACATTCGTTTTAAACATTTGCAAGAGTTTCACGGATTGAGGGCGGGTCGTTTTCAAATGGTGGCTGTCGCCTGAGCGCGGCGCACATTCGTTCAACAAAAAATGCAATAATTTTGCGGATTTGAGGGCAGGTGGTTTTCAACATGTGGCTCTCGCCTTAGCGCTTCGTTTACAAGAATTGCAAGAGTTTCGCATATTCCCATCATCAACGTACCAAAAAACGGCGTTTTGAAAAAGGATTCAAGGTTATGCGGGTGCAGCAGTTACGTTGGTTCGCTGTGTTGAAGTCCCAGGAATGGCGTTCTGGCGCGATTCAGGATCGCCAATGCGCAACAGTTAAGTCCTGGCACGCTTCAGGGTCTTCGAACAGTTGCCTTTGAACGAGGCAATGCCCTCAGCGGAAGGGAACCGTTGTGGGGTCCAGTGAGGAGGGAGCTTGGAGGGAGGGTCTGTTCCAACATCGCTGATGACTCCAAGGCTAACGCTGGTCATCCTTAGGCCTTAGGGGGACAAAGAGTGGCATAAACATAAAAACTCGAAGGTCCGCGCGGATTTCTCGGATCGGCGCTGGGGCCCCCCGGCGGCGCCTCTGGCGCCGCCCCTGGCGCGCTCAGCGCGCCAGGGAGGGGGGTCCAGCGCCGATCCGAGAAATCCGCGCGGACCTCAGAGTTTTCATGTTTATGCCACTTTTTGTTCCCCTATTGTTCCAACATCGCTGATGACTCCAAAGCTTACGCTGGTCATCTCCTCCTTCTCCTCACCTCCGTCCGGGGAGAGCAGCCCTCCCGCCTCTCTCCCTCTGCGCCCTCCGCCCGCCCGCCCGCTCCCCGCCACCGGAGGGCCCCCAGGGCGGCGGCGGGCCCCGCCTTGCCGCCCATGTGCCCGCACTTCTTGGTGCCGGGCTTCTGGTCCTCGGCCGCGCCCGCCGCTGCTGCTGCTGCGCTCGTCGTCGTCGTCGTCGCCGTCGTCGTCGTCGCCGTCGCCGCCGTCGTCGTCGTCGTCGTCGTCGCCGCCGCCGTCGCCGCCGCCGCCGTCGTCGTCGTCGTCGTCGTCGTCGTCGTCGTCGCCGTCGTAGGTCGTAGGTTGTACGTCGTCGTCGTCGTCGTCGTCGTAGGTCGTAGGTTGTACGACGTCGACGTCATCGTCGTCGTCGTCGTTTTCGATCGCCCTCGTCTTCGCAGGTCGTCGTGCGCCGCAGCCGTCGTCCGTGCTCGCGGTCGTGCCACGTCGCTGTGCGTCGTCGTCGTCGCCTTCCCCTCGTGGGTTTTCGCCGCCGTCGTCGTCGTCGTCGTCGTCGTGGGTTTTCGGAGGTTTCCGGACACCTCCGGGGGAATCTGCCGGCCCACCCACCGTGACAGAGGTCAGTGGGGCTGGCTGCGGGCTCCTCTGGGGGGGGGGGGGGCTCGAAGGCGGGCACCAGGCAGGAGGTCGGACAGCGCTCGGGACAAGCCACAGGAGAAGACAGTAGAACAGGACAAGGAACGCGGCAACAATAAACGGCACAATTTTTTTTTTTTTTTTTTTTTTTTTTTTTATATATATATATATGTATATAGGTTTTTTCTTTCTTTTTAAAAAACCTTCCCCAGTTGAAGGGTTCAGGTTCGTAGCGTTTGGAGCGCTGCGGGAATCCACGGCACAAGGCATGACACGTGACAAGGCACGAGACGAGACACACGATACGACACAGAGCTGGGCGAACGACAGGAAGCGTGATTGTGTCCCTCCCCCTCTCCCGCTCTCTCTCGCCCCTGCTCTTGCATGCCTCCTCGATTCGCCAATCATGGCAGAGACTGGCGCGAAGCAAATACCTTTCGGGCGAACCAGCACTTTGCTTGACAAAGACGATCGATTGCTCCGACTTCTCTTGCAATTGCTTTGATGTTTTCAATGTACCTGCGGGGAAGTTGGAATAGACCCCCCTTAGTGAACCTCCCCTTAGTGAAAACGGCCTAGGACCGAAACCGACGGACCCGGAATCGCAGAGATGACGGCCGCGGCGCCCTCTCGCGCACCGAAAACGGCCAACTCCTTAATCGACGTGTCAGGGCAGGAGGTCTGTCCACCCCCGATTGATGTTGTCCGCCCTCCGCCGAGGAGGAGGAGAGGACGAGGAGGATGAGGAGGAGGACGAGGAGGATGAGGACGAGGAGAATGACGAGGAGGAGGAGGAGGAGGAGGAGGAGGAGAGGGAGGAGGAGGAGGAGGAGCCCTGGCCCAGAGTAGGGGGCCTCCTCCTCCTCCTCCTCCTCCTCCTCCTCCTCCTCCCCCTCCCCCTCCTCCTCCTCCGCCTCCGCCTCCTCCTCCTCGCCGTCCTCCTCGTCCACACTTACGCTTTCCTTCCGCCAGCGAAGTGAGGTCGGTATTGCTAGACACACGCGCACACGGAAGGTCACATGGAACCGAACGAACAAGGAGGGGGACCGTAAGCGAACCCGAAAACACCAGACGGCAGTGCAACTCGGGGGGAGGGAGGCGGAATGTCTTCACAACGTGGAGACCCTGAGGTCTACACTCCTTCCTTCAAACAGGCTCTACATTGTGACCCAATTCTTTGCAGTCCAGGGGCCCGGCAGGGGCCCCGAGAGGCCGAACATTGTCAAACAGCCCTCTGTCGTGCCTTTGTTGGCGACGGGAGAGGGTCTAGGTGAAGGGGGGGGAGGGATGCGGGTCGGCTCGATGGGACGAAGCGGGCAGGCAGGTAGCCAGCGGGGGGTGGGGAATACAATCATCGTGCTACCAAAGTGAGGAGGCATCGCCTGGGAGGTCTTCGTGATAATGGTCACGCGCTATGAACCCCGATTAATGGCCACTGAACTGGATCGGCTCAACTTAAGCCCACTTATAACCAAACTGGATTAAGCAAAATTGAGCGAACCTGTCGTGATTATGCCGCTGTCAACCGCGGATATACCAACCCAGGAGTTGCATCCTAATCTTACAGCAGGGGCTCGACCACAAGAAACATTTCACAAGAAATCGAACCCTGAGACCCCAGGACGTCCGTCGATTTCTGGTGTGGGAGCGTCTCGCTTTCCGTTGCAAAACCACCGACACCCAGGAAACCCAGGGCACCCTGGAGGCAGGCAGGGTGCTTCTTGGCATGGGCTTCCACTGTACAGGGCAGTCTTTAATACATATGATTTTTCGAATTTACATTTTTAATACATGATTAAAAGATGAACGAATTTATGCATGAACTCCTCGTTGCTATCAATACCGAATCCCTGCATGTTTAATACATGATCCGCACGCGGAGCACGTATTAAGAACGGCACTGTATACCAACCCAGGAGTGGCATCCTGCTCCTAAAGGAGCGCTGCGTAGGGAAAACCCCAAAAAGGGGCTTTGCCTGGCCACGGCGAGCCTCGGCCACGCGGCGGGGCTCCGCGAGAGACGACCGAGGAGCGGCCCGAAGCCCGCGGCCCCCTGGCGGAACCGAACGCGGCCCCTGCACCGGGCAGGTTTTCATACATAGGATTCTGTTTCAAAAATATGGGATTTAATGCATGACTAATGTATGAGTGCATTTATGCACGAACTCGTCGTTGTTTTTAGAACTGAATCCCTGCATTTTTAATATATGATCCGCACGCGGAGCGTGTATTAAAAACGGCACTGTACCGGGCGAGCGCGCTCCACAACCCGCAAAGATTAGCGGCTCGCAAGCGGCCCGGATCCGCCGCAGGGGATCTCTGGCCATCGCTCGGACGTCCGCTCCCTGTGCATTTTTTTCGGTTTCGTGCGTGGCTTTTTTTCGCAGGATGATCCAGGGTGCTCCGTAATAACCCCCGCCGAGATAGAGTGCACACGTCCGAGCGATACCAAAATCTACTGCATATCACACAGAGGCAGACGTATGGCTTCCGGACGTCTGCCAGCAGGCACTCTGCGAGTCGCGGAGCGCGCGCGCTCGCCGGCGTACGAGCTGCTGCCCTCTTCGCCTGCCCTCTTCGCCTGCCCTCGCTGCCCCCTTCGGGAGCGTCCCTAACAGACGAGCGCGTTCCACTGCTCGCAAAAGGACTACTCAATGGCCTGGATCCTCCGCGGAGGATCCGCGATAAATTACTCTAAAGTCTGACGTATGGGTTTTCGGACGTTGCGAGTGGGCACTTTGCGAGCAGTGGAACCTGCTTTGCGACCTAAGGATCCCCCCCGACAGCGAGCGGCAGTTGTGATCAGCTCGTCAAGATCCTTCTGAGGTTAGTTTCTGGCAAGACAGTTGCATGCACAGTTTGGCGCAGGCGGCATGGGCGGGATCGCAGCAGCGCTTCCCGACCTCCGCAGAAGCTTGCCTCAGAGGCCCCACGTGGGGGTTTTGGTAGCAGCACGCTGCGATCTGTACACCGGCGTTGAGTCTGGGAAAGAGATTCGGGCGTTGGCGGGACTGGGTTTTGTTAGAGGCCGCCTAGAGTGGGTCCGAGCAGATAGAGTCAAAGGCTTCCGCCGCATCGCCAATGCATCGCCGATGTATCGGCGATGCATCGGCGATGTCGGCGATGCATCGGCGACGCCTGCGTGGGGAAACACGGACTCCACATCGAGCCGCATGGTGGATGCATCGGCCGACCGCACCTACTCCGACCCCATCTAGGAAACCCAGCATTTGGTGGGACCTGGATTCAATGATGTGTACCGTGCTGGGGGACGCCCCGCCCGCCCCCGCCCCATTCAACTCGCCGGAACTGCTCACTACGGCAGACTTGGGTCAGTGACCCTGGTAATTTTGTTGGGGGCGTCGGGTCCCAAATCCGCCGACCCCTTGGGGTCACGGCGTGTGAGATGCTTCCCCCTGCCCTCCTCCAGGAGCTCGGTCCGGTCGATTTGGAGGGGTGGGGTGGGGGGCAAAGGTGTCGGCCGCACCCTTGGAGCCTCAGGGGGCCCCAAAACGGGCCAAGAGGGCCCCGAAAGGTCCCTCGGACGGTCCAAGAGGGCTACGAGTCGCCGAAAGATCGCTCCGAGACGCCCAAGATTGCCTCCGGACGGTCCCAGAGGCCCCCAAGACGCCCCAAGAAGCCACCAGGAGGCGTCCCAAGAGGCGCTCCAGATGCAGAAATCGTCCCATTTCCTCGGGAAGCGGCGTATAATTTCAGCACATTCGCCTCTTGGGCTTCCACGAGGCCCACAACGGCCCCCGAAGCCTTTGAGATCGACCCGAGATAGCCCAAGAGGCCCCCAAGAGGGCTCCAAGATGGCCCAAGAGGGCTCCAGGAGCTTCCAAAACGACCCAGAAGGGCCCCAGGACGGCCCCAAGAGGAGGCCCAGAGGGGGAACCCGAATGAACATTTCGAGCACTCGGCCCCGAAAAAACCTGAGGCGCCAATAGGCCCCCAAGCGGCTCCCACGAGGCCCCCGAGAGGCCCCCGAGAGGCCCAAAAGAGGCTCCTGGAGGCCTCAAAACGGCCCCCAAGAGGCCTCAAAAAGGCTGCCTGGAGAGCCCAGAGAAGCCCAAAAGCAAGGCCGCGATCTGTCAACCGCCCCCGACGAAATCCTCCGTTGTGTGCTCTTACTGCCGCCCCAAGGGGTCGGCGGTGCGGCGTCAACCCATGAATCACCCACGGGCTCCTCGGAAGCCGGGTCCTGGCTCTTGCCATCGCTCGGGCGTCCACTTCCCTTGCATGTGTCGCCCGCGCGCGTGGCTTCTCACTCGAGAACCCAAGATGCTCCTTGGTGGTCCCCGCCGAGAAAAAAAAAGAGGTTCACGTCCGGGCGAAGCCGAGGTCCTGGCTATAAACCATTAGAGAAGCCAGAGCGAGAGCGTGATTCCTGAGTGTCGAGGGCGCGGCATCTGAACAAATCGCAAGGGGGCCCCACGCGAGAGCGCGACTCCTGCATAAACTCTGACGACGTCCCGCGCGAGAGCGCGATTTCGGCATACATTGCGAGACAGTATCAGGCGGGAGCCGTTGTTGTTGTTGTTGCTGGTGTGGTTGTTGTTGTTGTTGTTGTTGTTGTGGTTGTTGTTGTTGTTGTTGTTGTTGGTGTTGTTGTTGTTGTTGTTGTTGTTGTTGTTGTTGTTGTTTTTGTTGTTGCTGTTGTTGTTGTTGTGATTGTTGCTGTTGGTTGTTGTTGGTGTTGCTGTTGTTGCTGTTGGCGGTGGTGGTGGTGGTGGTGGTGTTGTGTTGTGTTGTTGTTGCTGTTGTTGGTGTTGTTGGTGTTGCTGTTGTTGCTGCTGCTGTTGCTGCTGGTGCTGTTGCTCTTGCTGTGGTTGTTCTTGGCGGTGGTGGTGGTGCTGCTGCTGCTGTTGGTGTTGCTGCTGGTGCTGTTGCTGTTGCTGTTGCTTGCTGTCTGCTGCGTCGCTCGTGCGAGGCCGTGGAGCCCGCCCTCTCGGGCCCCCGTCGCCACCTGGGGCCCTCGGCCTCCCGAGTGCTCCGCCCTCGCTGCTGTTCGCCTCCTGAATCCTCTCCCTCCTGCTCCTCCTCCTCCTCCTGCTCCTGCTCCTCCTCCTCCTCCTCCTGCATCCCCTTTCCTACATGTGGCTGACGCCTCAACGCCGCCCATATCAGTCTCAAATGACTGTGCCAGTTTCGATTCGCATGGCTGAAGTCCGAGGAAAATTGTTCTGGCACAATTTAGGCTTGTCAGGCAACAGCAATCACGTTGCTTCGCTGTGTACACCTCCCAGACATGGTTGTCTGGGTGCCCTGGCACGATTTAGACTTGCCAAGGCGCGGCACTCACGTTGATCCGCTGCGTTGAAGTCCCAATGTTTTTTTGGGCACGACTTAGGATTCTCAGACAATTGTCTTCAAACGGGGCACTTCCCGCAATGAACATCAAATCTGGTAGGGACCCATGAAGCGGGATCCTGCAGCAAAGGTGTATTGCAACACCGTTGCTGCGACTTGGGTTCACACTGGCCCTCTTGCTCCTCCTACTCCTCCTCGTCCTCCTCCTCCTCCTCCTCCCTCCTCGGCATGCGGACGTCGCGCTGCCTCGATGTGGATGCCCGCTGCCCCGTTCTCAATGAACATCTTGCACAGCTTCATGGTGGCCTCGGCGATGGGGGCACATCGGGGGGCTGCGCCCTCCCTGCCTCCCTCCCACCCTCGCTCACCTCCTCCCTGCTGCTCCCTTCCCCTCCCCCTCCCTCGCCTCCCCCTTCCCCCTCATCCCCATCCTCGCCATCCCTATCCTCCTTTTCCTCCTCCTCCTCCTCCTTTTCCTTTTCCTCCTCCTCCTCCTCCCTGTGCCCACGACCCCCCTCTCCCTCCCCCCCCTCCTTCTAATCCCGCACACACCCTCGCCCCTGGCACGAGGGGAGAAAAAAGGGTCCCGAGGGAAACGGGTCCTGGAGCCCTGGGATCCGATCCAGAAAGGCCCATTTGGCCGTCGTGGGGCGGTCTTGGGGGCCCCTCGGGCCGTCTGCGAGCGTCGGGAAGCCGGAATGGCGACGACGCACAAAGCCTCAACAACCGAAGGGCCATCAATGATTTTGGCCTCTTGGGGCCCTCTTGGGAGGCCTCTTGGGAGCCTCTTGGGGCGCATTGGCGGCCTCTTGGGCCGTCTGGAGGCAATCTTAGGCGTCGTGGGCCGATCTTGGAGCGTCTCGGGGCCCCATCGGACCGTCTCGGGAGCCTCTTGGGGCTCTCTTGGCCCGCCTTGGGGGCCTCTTGGGCCCGTAACATGTCACGCGCCACCTCGCGACGGGCCCCGGAGGAACCGCGCCCAACCCCGAGAGATTTGGCAATCAGGGCTCCGGGGTCTTGAAATACTCCTCAGGAGTGAAGACTGAGGGTCTGGGGATGAGGCAAAGGACCTGAGGACACGCCCACTCCGTGCCCACAGGCACGGTGGCGGATTGTTGGACACCCTACATTCGCCCTGGCGCTCTCGCCTCGGCGCCAGATGGTTTTCTTCTGAAACTTAAGCTCACGCTCAAGCGTTTCGGAAAAAACAGCCGAACCGCCCCCAACAACAACACCAACACCAACCACAACAACAACAACAACATCGACAACAAAACCACCACCACAAACAACAACACCAACAACAACAACATCAATCCCACCAATGACAACACCGACACCATCAACAACAACGACAGCACTTGCAAAATTAACAGCAACAACAGCAACAACAGCAACAACAGCAACAACACACAATAACACCATCACCACCACTACCAACCACACCATCAACACCAACAACAAAACCACACCAACACCAACACCAACTTCAACACCAGCAACAGCACCACCACCAACCCCAGCACCACCACCAGCGACAACAACAGCAGCACACACAACAACAGCAATCACACCAGCAACACTGACAACAACAACAATCATAACACCACAGACAACAACATCAATACCAACAACAACACTTATTTTAAAACTGTTCGCTCCTGTCTGCTCACGTGCCATCCAATACGTGTATCCCAAACGCTCGGTACCCGCACTCGTCGTCTTCGATCGTACCCCCTTGGGAATTTATCTTTCTTGCCTGCAACGTGTATATGCAACCCTAACGATGACGATGGAAAGTGGTTCATTCCTTTCGGTACTTCAGGTTCTGCTATCCTGGGCCTGCAAATGATGACGACGCATGCCAAAGACAAAGAATGCTGGGCGATGGCTTCGGAGACGGAGGACGAGTTGCCACTGCGATGGCTGGTGATGCTGGACTGGGGCGATTGGTCGACCATATCAGTGGAGGGAAATCGCCGGTGACCATCCACAAGGAACAAGGAGACTGGCATATTCCCATTCTGTGGCATGCTGGTTGCACTGGGAACTCCTGAGCCCCTTCTACACGTTGCAGCCAAGTACGCCATGTTGGACAACAAGAACGAGTTTTTGGTGAGGATGGGAGGGGAGTTCGGCGTCCCTGGAAGCGCTCAGCTTTCAGTCCCCAAACTTGTTCTGGCCCTGGCCAAGGCCATCTTCAAGACTGATTCGGACGAGGAGTTTATGCTGAACATCCTGTGGCACCGTCTCATTAAGGGGAACGGTGCAATGGAGATCCCGATGTCTGACGAAACCAAAGACATTTTACAGAAGGCAGAGGTCGAGCAATTCGAGCAGGTAGTGGCTCAAAAGATTCCAGAGCACGAGGTCGTTGACGTCATCAGAAAACCCAAGACTTCGTGCAGCCCTCAAGGCAGGGGAAGAGAGAGCGGCTGAGAGGAAGGGACAAGGGAGAGAGAGGAGGATTGAGCACGAAAGACCGTAGCAGGAGGGAGGCTAGAAGAAGAAACCACGTGGCAGAACCAGACGGGCAGATCGGGCGGGTAGGCCCTCACGGGCGGGTCGGAGAGTCGGGCCCAGGCGGCCAGGTCGAGCAGGCGGGTTGCTGAAGCGTGCGTCCTGCATGAATCGCGAGGAAGTGTCGAGCGACAGCGCGATTCCCAAATAAATCGTCAGGACGTCCACAACGAGTGCGTGATTCTTGAGTGTCGAGGGCGCGGCGTCTGAATAAATGGCGCGGAAGTCCCACACTATAGCGCGATTTCTGTATAACTTGTGAAGAAGTCCAGCGCGAGAGCGCGATTTGGCAATGCACTGTGGGGACCTATCAGGTCGGAGCCGTTGCTGTTGCAACTCGGGGCCAGGGGGCCAGTTTGGCGACCCCGCGCTTTTCCTTGCAAAAAAAAGAGGTTGCGAGCCCCCGGGTAAGCACAATAACAGCCACAACAACAATCAGTTTAAGACTGTTCGGTATTATCTGCTCGCGTGCCGTCCAACACGTATATCCCAAACCCTCCTTACCCGCCCTATTCGTCGTCGATCGTGCCCCCTTGGAGGTATACCTTCCTTACCTGCAACGTGTATTTCATGCAGCCCTTTGGCAGGGGAGGAGAGAACGGAAGGAAGATAGGAACGAGGAGGGAGGAATATGGTGCATGATACAGAGAGAGAGAGAGAGAGAGAGAGAGAGAATAGCAGGAGGGAGACTAGGACCAGAAAGCAAGTGGCAGAACCAGACGGGCAGATCGGGCGGGTAGACCCTAACACGCGGGTTGGGAAGGCGGGTTGCTGAAGCGTGCGTCCAGCAAGAATCGCGAAAAAGTATCGAGCGATAGCGCGGTTCCCAAGTAAATCGTGAGATGGGCCAAAGCGAGAGCGTGATTCTTGAGTGTCGAGGGCGCGGCGTCTGAATAAATGGCGCGGAAATCCCACACGACAGCGCGATTCCTGCATAAGTTGTGAAGAAGTCTCAGGCGAAGCCATAATTTCTCAATACGTTGCGAGGAAGTATCCGGCGGGAACCGTTGTTGTTGTAACTCGGGGGCCGGGGGCGCAGATTGACGCTCAATACTTCCCCTGATTCAAAACAGGGAACCCCGGGAGGGGCACTTCAATTGAACAAAATACAATATGCACCGGGCACTGGGGATCAGCAATAATCATTCTTCAAAAATGAGTCCAACAACACATACACGCACACGCGCGCACACCCACCCACCCACTGACCCACACACTGACCCACCCACCCACCCACCCTCTCTCCCACCCACCCACCTATTCCATCCACCCACCAACCCACCCAACCACAATCACACCCAAACACCCACACACACACACACACACTCTTTTTTGACGTCGCGGCCCCGCGCGCGGCGACGGGGCGTAGAAAGTCGGGTGGAGGCAATCAAGCGCGCGCGTCTACGCCCAGCCGAGCTTTCAGAGACAGCTACACACAGCACGCACACAAACACACACACACGCACGCACGCACGCACGCAAACACGCACGCACACACAAACACACACAAACACACAATCACACAAGCTCACAAACACAAACAAACACAAACAAACACTCACAAACACACAAACACAAACATGCCAACATATAAACACACCAACACACCAACACATCAACGCACAGAAACACACACAAACCTCCACACACAAACACACACACACACGCATACACAAACCCACAAACAAGCACACACACAAACACTAAACACACACACAAAACAAACACACACACAAACACACATACACACGCACACACAAACCCACAACCACACACACAACCACTCAACACACACAAAGCAAACACACACAAACACACACAACCACATGCAAACACACAAACTCACACACAAACGCACGCAAACACACACACAAACACACACAAACACACACAAACACATAATGACACACAACTACACTCACACAACCACACAAAGTCACAAACACACACACAAAGTCACAAGTACACAAACACACACAACTAATATCATAAACACACCAACGCCTAAACACAAGACCACAACACACACGAACGCACAAACACACAAACACAGAAACACGGAACACACACACAAACACAGACGCACAAAATCACAACACCACAAAACCCAACACCACAAAACCACAACATCACAACATCACCAAATCACGAACCCCCACAACCACGAAACCATGAAACCACGAACATACAACAACACAACATCGCAAAACCACAAAAGCACAAAACTACAAAACCACAATTTCACAACGCTACAACAACGCAATATCACAATATCACGAAACCCCAAAACACAAACACAAAACAACACACACACACACAGACAAACACACAGACGCACACACAACACAACAACAGAAACACAAACACAAACACACAAACACACAGACACTCAAACACACAACAACTCAAAAACACAAAACCCCCCAAAAACAAAACAAAAATCAACAGAAACACACAACCACACAAACACACACACAAACACACTAACACACCAACGCACAAACACACAAACACACAAGCACAGAAGCACACAAACACACTAAGAACATATAAAAACACACAAACGCACAAACACATAAAACACAAGCACACAACACACACAAACGCACAAACACACACAAACACACAAACACACAAACACACCAGCCCACCAACACACGAACACACAACGACACAAAGACACACACAAACACACAAACACAATAACAAGCATAACCATAAGCACAAGCACACGCGCAAACACAATCACAAACACAATAAGAAGCACAAGCACAAGCACAAGCACACGCACACGCACAAGCACAAGCACAAGCCCCAGCACAAACAACAAATCAAACACAAACACATAAACAAACGCAACCATACACATACACACACGCTCACGCTCACGCTCACGCTCACGCTCACGCACACACACACACACTCACACACGCACGCACGCACGCACCGGCACGCACACACACACACACACACGCACACACGCACACACGCAAACACGCACACATGAACACACGAACACACGCACACAGGCACACACGCACACACGCACGCACGCACGAACGCAAGCACGCACACGCACACGCACACGCGCACGCACACACGCGCAGGCACACGCGCACGCACACGCACGCGATCGCGCTCGCGCGCGCGCACGCGGGAACGCGCGCACGCACACACGCACGCACGCACGCAAGCACGCACACGCACACGCACACGCACACGCACACGCACACGCACACGCACACACGCACAGCACACGCACACACGCACACGCACACGCAAACACGTACACACGTACACACGCACACACGCACACACGCACACACGCACACACGTACACGCGCATACCCGCACAAACAAACACACATACATACACGCTCACACGCTCAAACGCGCACGCCTGCACGCCCGCGTGAACGTACACACTCCACAAACAACTCACACAAACGCACACACGTACACACACTGCACTTACACACAAAGACACAAACACAGACACATACAAATCACATACCATATCCACCACACACACTGGGACGCTCGGGAGGCGTCCGTGAGGCCGCCGTGGCCGGTGTCGGCGTCGGCGATGATCGGGTTCATGTAGTCCACCTCGCGCAGGAAGGAGGTGGAGACGAGGACGGAGGAGGAGGAAGAGAACTGGGGTGTAGAAGGAGGGGGAAGAGGAGGAGGGGGGAGGGGAGGACCACAAGGAGGAACCAACAATTCCTTTCTCTCTTTCTCTCTTCCCCTTCCTCCTCCTTACTATCCTTCCTTTTGCTCCTCCATCCCTCCGTCCCTCCTGCCCCCTCCTCATCCTCCTCCCTCCTCCTCCTCTCGTTCATGTGGTTCGCTCCTTCCTCCTTCCTTCTCCTCCTCTCTTCCTCCACTGCCTGGTCCACCCCGAAGCGCGGAAATCTTGGCAGCACGGAGGACTGATGCTCGAGGATTGAGGCTGGCGAGGTTTTTTTTTTTTTGCCTTTTAACGTTTTTCGCCCTTTTGGGAGCGTGTCGTGCCGGGCCGCGCTGTGACGTCGGAGTCCCCCAACGACCTCACTGCGCGGTCCGCCACCACACGGTCGTGGGACCCCTCGGAGAACGACCCGAGTCCTGGTCGCCCGAGACGCCCTGGGCGCCCGAGACGCCCTGGGCGCGCAGGAGCGGGGGAGGGGGGGGAAGGGGGAAGGCTTCTTGGAAGGGGGCTGCTCCTCTGAAGGCGCGGAAACCAGAACGGACCCGAAAACGACCCGTCACCACAGGCCCTGGCCGCCCGAGACGCCCTCGGAAAACGACCCCTCGGCCCCCCAAACCGCGCGGCGACCCCGCGTCCACACGGACCCACCACGCGGTGTGGCCCCCGCGCCGTGCGGGGGGCCTCCCGAGGAGGCCCGGAGCCTCCGGGGAGGCCTCCCGGGGACCTCCGCCCTGGCGGCGCGCAGGGAAGGTGCAGGGCAGGGCGCGGGGCGGGCGGGGGTCGGGGATCTGAAGGGGCCCAGGGGCACACAAATAAATACACACAAAGCCCAAGGGTTTCGAATATTTCCCAACAATCCTGTGGTGTTGGGTCCTCGTTTTGAAGAGACGGTGCCCCGCGTCTCCTCCCGCTGCCCCCTCCTCCTCCCGCTCCTCCCTCCTCCCTGCGTTTCTCACCCAGTACAGCGTTTCGTGGCCCCATAGGGAGCTCCACCGAAAGGCCCCAGTGGCAGGGTTCGCATGGCGGCCCCGCGTTTTGGCGCTCCCCTCACACGGTTCGTAGCCCCATAGGGAGCTCCACCGAAAGGCCCCAGTGGCAGGGTTCGCATGGCGGCCCCGCACCATTTTGGCGCACCCCTCACACGGTTCGTGGCCCCATAAGGGGTTCCACCGAACGACCCAGTGGCAGGGTTCGCATGGCGGCCCCGCGCCATTTTGGCGCACCCCTCACGGTTCGTGGCCCCATCGGGAGCTCCACCGAAGGCCCCAGTGGCAGGGTTCGCATGGCGGCCCCGCGCAAGTTTGGTGCACCTCTCACACGGTTCTTGGCCCCATAGGGGGCTCCACCGAAGACCCCAAAGGCAGGGCTCGCATGCCGGCCCCGCGCCAGTTTGGTGCACCCCTCACACGGGTCGTGGCCCCATAGGGAGCTCCACCGAAGGCCCCCGTGGCAGGGTTCGCATGGCGGCCCCGCGCCAGTTTGGTGCACCCCTCACACGGTTCGTGGCCCCATAGGGAGCTCCACCGAAGGCCCCAGTGGCAGGGTTCGCATGGCGGCCCCGCGCCAGTTTGGCGCACCCCTCGCACGGTTCGTGGCCCCATAGGGGCTCCACCGAAGGCCCCAGTGGCAGGGTTCGCATGGCGGCCCCGCGCCAGTTTGGTGCACCCCTCACACGGTTCGTGGCCCCATAGGGAGCTCCACCGAAGGCCCCAGTGGCAGGGTTCGCATGGCGGCCCCGCGCCAGCTTGGTGCACCCCTCACACGGTTCGTGGCCCCATAGGGGGCTCCACCGAAAGCCCCAGTGGCAGGGTTCGCATGGCGGCCCCGCACCATTTTGGGGCACCCCTCACACGGTTCGTGGCCCCATAAGGAGCTCCACCGAAGGCCCCCAGTGGCAGGGTTAGCACGGCGGCCCCGCGCCAGTTTGGTGCACCCCTCACACGGTTCGTGGCCCCATACGGGGCTCCACCGAAGGCCCCAGTGGCAGGGTTCGCATGGCGGCTCCGCACCATTTTGGCGCACCCCTCACGCGGTTCGTGGCCCCATAGGGAGCTCCACCGAAGGCCCCAGTGGCAGGGTTCGCATGGCGGCCCCGCGCCAGTTTGGTGCACCCCTCACACGGTTCGTGGCCCCATGAGGAATTCCCCTTGCTTCGTCCCACCTGCCCTGCGGTTTTCACACCTGCGTATGGTTGGGTCCTTCGCCTGGATAATTTCTGGGTTTGCGTCTTCCCCCCCACTTCATATTTTTCCATATCCCCTGGGGGTCGACGATGAATTGTGTCTGTGTGTTTCTTTCCCTCCTCAGATCTACTGATCTGGGTCAAATCCAAACCGGGTCAATCGGGGCTTGCAGGATCCCGCAATATCCTGCAGGATCCTGCACGCAAGCCCGGGTCAGTGCGCCCCTGGCCCTGCAGGATCCTCCAAGATCCAACGCTCTGACTGACCCCCGTTCGCACTGACCCCACTTTCTTGAGCCCCGAGGGGGGCCTTTCAGAGGAGGACCCAGGGGGCCCTAAAGAGGGCGCTCCTGAGCATCGTTTAACCGATCCCTATCGCCACTTGCGTCGCCTGGGCCCCACTAGCCGCTTTTTCCCCCTAGGTGGGGCTATCGGAGGTGATGGGGGTGAGATCGAAGTGGAACGGAGAGCCCCCCTACCGGGAAATCGGTTTCGGTTTCGTGCGTGCCATGCGTGCATGCGAGGCGAAGCTGCGTGGGCGGGCGAGCAGAGAGTCTCCTCCGGCTGAGGCGCGGTCGGACCAACTGCTTCCTTTCCGGGGGCCGGTGCCGCGCGGTGTCCCGCCGGTGTCCCGCCTTCGGCTGAGGCGCGGCCGGACCAAATGTTTCCTTTCCGGGGGCCGGTGCCGCGCAATGTCCCGCCGGTGTCCCGCCGGTCTCCCGTCGGTGTCCCGATGATGATGATGATGATGATGATGATGATGATGATGATGCTGATGCTGATGCTGATGCTGATGCTGATGATGATGAGGATGATGATGTCGATGATGATGATGATGATGATGATGATGATGATGATGATGATGATGATGGTGTCCCGATGATGATGGTGATGATGATGATGTTGACGATGATGATGATGATGATGATGATGATGATGATGGTGGTGATGATGATGGTGTCCCGATAATGATGCTGATGATGAGGATGTTGCTGATGATGGTGTCCCGATGATGATGATGATGATGATGATGATGTTGATGACGATCTTGATGATGTTGATGATGATGAGATGCTGATGCTGATGATGATGATGAAATTGATGATGATGATGGTGTCCGGGTGATGATGATGATGATGATGATAATGATGAGGTTGATGATGATGCTGTTGATGATGATGGTGATGACGATGATGGTGTCCCGATGATGATGATGATGATGATGTTGTTGATGATGACGATGATGGTGTCCCGATGATGATGATGATTATTTTAATGATGAGGGTGAAGACGATGATGATAATTTTGATGGTGGTGGCCCGATGATGGTGATGTTAGATGCTGATCTTGATGATGATGCTGTCCCGATGATGATGATGATGATGATGATGATGATGATGATGATGATGGTGGTGATGATGATGGTGATGATGATGATGATGGTGTGCCGATGTTGATGTTGATGATGATGATGCTGATGATGTTGTTCATGATGATGATGATGATGATGAGATGATGATGATGATGATGATGATGATGATGATGATGATGGTGGTGTTCCGATGATGGTGATGGTGTCCCGATGATGATGATGTTGATGATGCTGATGGTGACGATGATGGTGTCCCGATGATGATGGTGATGATGATGTTGATGATGGTGATGAGGTGATGATGATGATGATGATGATGATGATGATGATGATGATGATGATGATGTTGTCCCGGTGATGATGATGATGCTGATGATGATGATGATGTTGTTGATGACGATGATGTTTATGTTGATCATGCCGTTGATTGTGAGATCGATAGTGAGATCGATAGTGAGATCGATAGTGAGACCGACTGTGAGATCGATTGTGAGATCGATAGTGAGATCGATCGTGAGATCGATTGTGAGATCGATAGTCAGATCGATTGTGAGATCGATCGAATGAAATTAGACCGAGTGAGATCGATTGTGAGATCGATCGAGTGAGATCGATCGAGCGAGACCGATAGTGAGATCGATAGTGAGACCGATCGAGTGAGACGTTGGTTCCTCCTCCCCCCCCCGAACCTCCTTATCACCCGAAGGGTGGTCGTATAGGTACGCAGTTTCCGTCAGATTTCGAAGGGTATATCCCCAACTGGGGGGACGAGGTGGTGGGGCCTGGGATGGGGATGGGGATGGGGATCGGTCAAACGATGCTGAGCTCCAGAGAGGCCCCCTGGGGGCGTGCTGAGAGGGCGCCCTTCTTTTGCCGGCGCCGTGCGCGGGCATCTAGAGCCGGAAATGAATCGCAGCGATGCTCGCCGGCGGCCGCGCGAGGCCTTTAGTAGACGCGCCCGAAGAAGGAATCGAACAGGGCAGGGCCGTGAAGTGAACGCCCAGGGCCATTTAGTAAACGCCAATTGTCTGGTCCAGGTGGTTTTTCCACCCTTGATTGCCCGTGCTTGAAGCGGCCACAACGCAAGGTTCGGCGCCGCGTGCGAGCATCTGCTGCCCGAAATGAACTGCAGTGATGCTCGCCGGCGGCCTTGCCCGTGCTCGTAGCGGCCCAGCAAAACATGTTTCGGCGCCGAGTGCGAGCATCTAGCGCCAGTAATGAACCGCAGTGATGCTCGCTGGAGCTCTTGACAAGCTCACAGGCCTCCAGTGAAGGAGATGGCGGTAGTGCGAAGTTGTCTTACGTGGTTGATCGTGCCGAAGCATATTGCCAGCCAGATAGTTGGTGTTCCCGTAGTTTTTGTATGTTCGCCACCAGCGCGACGTCGTCTCACGTGGCTGATCTTGCCGAAGCATGTTTCCAGTCACACAAGCGGTCGTTTGTTCCCTGCAGGCATTGCTTGACAAAAACAATCTCGGGGGATGTGGATTATTTTGCCACTTGCGTTGTTTGTGAACCTATATGCGCTGCAGGGGGCGCCGGTCGGTCAGTGGACGCAGAAGAAGATTGCGGTCCAGGATCCTGATCTGGCCCTTCCCAGATATGGAGGATGAGGGGGAGGGGAAGTAAATACTTCAACTCTTGACGCTGCACCGCGCGGGACACAGGAGGGGGAACGCGTCGAAGGAGGATTTTTTGTGTTACTTGTTCTGCGCTGACCTCTAGAAAGCGGGCGGGCATTGACTGAAGCTCGCGTTGGCCTGAACTCTCGCACACGGGGAAGCATCGGTTCGCGCCAGGACTGCTGACGCCGCCGCTCAATAGCCGAAAGTCTGGTAGAAGTCTGACGGAAGAGATTGCTGCGCGAAGCCAAACACCATTGCAAACAAGTTTATAGATTCAACGCGGCTTGCCCTCTCGCATATATCGGTCCTTCTGGTCCTCCTGGTCCTCCTCCTCCTGATCGTCCTACACCTCTCTTCTTTGAGCAGGGACCGACCGTCCTGGCATCCCCATATGCCTAGCACGACATGTTCTTAGAACCCCAAAAAGTTCGAAGAGCAATAACAATGTTCTTACGACGCAAGCCCGATGTATTCAAACAAGACAGTCTCAACCAGACATGTTCTAAGAACATGTCGTGCAGACAACAAAAGGGTCTTAGAACATTATTTGGTGGACCTATATTTGCGCAAGACGAAAGATGTTCCTCTTGAGGTGAACATGGACATGAGGAGTTCGCGAGACAACGTCGGCGCCGCCGAACGGACGGCGACCAGACGAGCTGTTTGCAGCAACCGGACGGAAATCGGATCCACCGAAACAAACACCAAAGCCACATCTGGATCCGCGCGAACTTCATGGGATCCGACGGCGGTTATCTCATACGGGTCTGTTCAAGACTTCACACCGTCGTTCCGGGCCCAAGAGGAAAAAACTTTCGTCCCGGGGATGTAGTAGGGAACCCACAAAAGACGTACGCGCCCAACCATGTACATTAACACGGCCCCTCGATCCGCGAGACCGTCCGCGTGATACGAATCTTCGCGCAATGCATGCTCTCGAAACCAGCGTAACTACGTCTACGTCCTTCTGTCGCTCCCGATATGGGCGAGCCGGGACGCTTTCGCCACTGCTCGACACCTCTTGGCGTCACGAGCGCGGCTCTCGAGGGCAGCGGGCCCTGGACCCGGTGCCGCTCCGGGGACACACTCGTCATCCCGAGCCGCTTCTTGACCGGCCCAGAGCTGCAGGCGCCCCGAGGAACACGAGCATGACCCCCAAACACTCCCGCGACCCCTTGCCTCCTCCCTCCTCCCTCCTCCCTCCTCCCTCCTCCCTCCTCCCTCCTCCTCCTCCTCCTCCTCCTCCTCCTCCTCCCTCCTCCTCCTCCTCCTCCTCCTCCTCCTCCTCCTCCTCCTCCTCCTCCTCCTTGCGTGCCACACCGCAGCTGCCATACCCGGGGCCCGCCGGCTTTGTCTTGGCGCGGTCCTCGGGGGACATGCGGCGCCGGTCCTGGGGGAGGCGGCGCGGCCCCCCGGCTCTCGGCGTGCGAGCTGGTGCCCCCCACTGGAGGCCAGTCATGCCGCTCGGGAGGCAACTCCTGGGAGGTGGGGTGCGCGCAAGCAGTGACCCCGGGCAGGAGCGACCTTCGATACGCGGCTTGCAAGCCGTTGCGTGCGATGCGACACTGGCGGCCTGCGTGCCTGGGACTGGCAATCCCCCCAGCCGTGCCCCGTAAGCCGCATGCCGAGGGTCCCTCTGGCGAGGGTTCCGCCTGAGAGAGCTATGAAGCCCGACTATGAACGATCAGCCAAGCTCAACTACTCGCCATCGCTCGGACGTCCATGCCTCGTGCATGTGTCGGTTTCGCGCGTGCCCTTGTATTTTTTGCTGAACGATCCCGGACGCTCCTCAATCGTCATCGTCGAGAAAAGATGCACACGTCCGAGCGATGCCAAGACTAAGGAGTAGGCCAGACTGAGCGGGATTCAACTGGATTAAGCCTGGATGAGCGTTGCTTCCCAGCACGGATCTACTTGCGCAGACGCGGAATTCAGCCCGTAGCCTGGGCACGGAACCGTCTTACAGCCAACGACAGTGTGTGGCGCTGATGGCGAGGACAACGAAATTGCACGATGGACGAAATTGCAGAAACCAAATGTGTGTAGCTGGTGGACAACATTGCATGAACAGGAACTTTCGGATGTCCGCGAGGATAGATTGGGCCGGCGCTGGCTGCCGTCCACGCACCCCCGGATGGCGCCTTTGGCGCCCCACCCGGTGCGCTCATGGAGGCGGGAGGATCACGAGAGGGATCGACCTAAACCTTTTTTTCCCAACCCTCCTTGGTTGGGTATTCGTTTTGAATAGAGCAGTGTGGTCGCGTCCTTCCTCCTCCCGCCTCCCGCCTCTTTCCTGCCTCTTTCTGTCTTGCCTGCGGGGGGCTGTGAAACTGTCGCCACATTCGAGGCCTGCTGGGGGGTCCAGCATAGAGGGTAATCGCGGCAGATCCAAATTAGACCTCGCCCTCCCTGGGGGGCTGCGATCTGTGAAACTGTCGCCACTTTCGAGGCCTGCTGGGGGGCTCAGCATAGAGGGTAATCGCGGCAGATTCAAATTAGACCTCGCCATCCCTGGGGGGGGGGGGCTGCGATCTGTGGGGAGGCCCTCCCTGGGGGGCTGCGATCTGTGAAACTGTCGCCACTTTCGAGGCCTGCTGGGGGGCCCAGCACAGTGAGGGCCACGCGCGGATTCAAATTAGACCTCGCCATCCCTGGGGGGCTGCGATCTGCGAAACTGTCGCCATTTTCGAGGCCTGCTGGGGGGCCCAGCACAGTGAGGGCCACGGGCAGATTCAAATGAGACCTCGCCATCCCTGCGGGGCTGCGATCTGTGAACCTGTCGCCACTTTCGAGGCCTGCTGTGATCCCCGTTTTCGAAGTGGCTAGGAGTGCTCAGGAATTGTAAATCATCAGCTTTATCAAGCCCTTTTCCTGTAGCCAGTGTCCTGCGAGTCTCCCGAATTCCGTCTGCAGACATATGTAACCCTCGCTCCGTCATCGCCCCCTTATAAAGTATCCTAAACTATTTGCGCCCCGCTTTTGCGCAGGGGTTGGGTACGTCGCCAGGGTAATGTTGTTGTCTGTTTTCGGTTTGTTATTTCTTTCCCTCGTTTCGTCCTCAACCCGCCTTCGATGCAACACGGAATCGAAGCGAAAGCGGCCCACGAAAGCGCCGACACACCGTCTAGATCGATCGCGCCGCATCGCCCACATAGTTATCGACGATGCGTCGGCGACCGTCGGCGCGGGGCCGCATCACCAACGCAGCGGCGATACGGCGCGGACCTCTGGACCCGCGTGGATCACGCACCCCGGCCCCATGCGAGGGTCTTACGCGAGATGACGCAGCGACCTTGCTCGGCGGCTTACGCGGGCCGCCCGCGCGGCGCGCCACATTGAAGAGGAGGGCGCTCACGCGCGACCTTCGGCGGGCAGCTAAAGCGCCCATGTCGGCGCAAACGACACCGTTTGTCTGCGTCGCTCATGGAGGACCAAAGCTGATGTGGACCCTCGCCGCCCTCCTCGCTGCGCAGTGCCTCCGGCGTGTCTGCCGCCCCGCCGCCGTGGACACGAGGCTCTCCGGCCCATGCCTGCCTCACCAGGGGGTCCACCACTGACCTCGGTGCCGGGCCCCCCGCAGCCGCGCTGCTTCCACAGGCACGGGGACGCCAGCTCGAAGGTCCGAAGGACAAGGAGGACGACGAGGAGGATGACCACGAGGAAACTGTTAAAACAGGGCAAGGATCGGGATAAATCGCTCCAGAGCGTTCCGGAGCGCTCTCAGAGCGTTCCGGAACGCTCTGGAGCGGCCGCGGCGCCCAATATATCCTCCAAACCCGCCGATTCTCAGAGATTTCGAGTTATCCCGATCCGATGTTGTCCCGATCTTCGCGTCGTTTTGAGGACGACGAGGAGGATGACCTCTAGGAAACTTTGGGCTAGAACCGCCGCCGGATGCCTCCAGGCTGATCGCGGGCGCGCAAGCACGCCGGCCACGGCTCGGCACGCCCCGCGCAGGACCGTGCCTGGACCTGGCCAGGAGCTCCCGCCCTCCCTGCCTCAGCCCCGACTCCCACAGCCTCACAGCCCTGCTCTCCCTCCGCCTCTCTCCTCCCTCCGCCCTGCCTGCCTTCTCCCTCGACCTCCCCTCCTCCCACTCCCACCTCTCCTCCATCTCCCTTCTCGTTGTTCCCCTCTGCGTCATCGCCGTTGTGGTCCGCCGCCGCCGCCGCCTCCCGTTTTTGTTTTCTTTCCTGGCGAGCGCCCTTCTTCAGGTTGCCAAGCGCGAGTATCACTTCAACGGCCTTATCCAGCACCATAACCTCCGTTTGGGAAGCAAACATCGCACACCATAAATCCCGCGTTTGGTAGTAAACCCACCGTTTGTGAACATCTGCAGCGCTCCCTCGTTAGCAGTAGTGGTGTAGATCAGCTCTTGAATGTGGAGGGGAGACAAAATGCTTCCAAATGCGTCCACGTACACGCCGTAATTGGCTGAATAATCTGCTCTGGCATTCCACGCTCTGGGCCTCCAGTCCACTGGGTCCATGTTATCCGCCTTGTAAGACCATCGCGTGGTGTAGAGCTTGGCCAGACCCGCTCTGATGCGACGGACGCACGGGTCATGTATGGGATTATGCGCAGCGAGCGTTGCGTTGGCCAGACCTGCCAAACACTGATTGCCAATCACGAACTCTAAATCAACTGATCCAGGAAATTGGCTGAATGATAATATATCGTGTCCCTGCTCTAATGGCAGTGGGACGTTTTCTAATATGTAGACATCCTAGAAGCCTCCTGCGTAGATGGGGTCCAAGTAAATGGAGTCGCAAGATATCCCGCATCGCCGATACATCACCGATGCATCGGCCCATGCACTGGCGACGTCGGCGATGCATCGGAGACGTCGGCGTGGAGAAAATTCGGCCCCCACATCGAGCCGCATCGCTGATGCATCGCCGATGCATCGGCGATCCGGCGCGATCCTCCGATCCCATCTACTCCGACCCCATTCAGGAGGCCTAGACTTGTAAGGTTCGCTGCCCTGTGTTGTCTACGAGGTCTGCTACCTCTCTAGAAAACCCCCATATTATCTTCACAACCGTCATCATCGGCGTCCCTGTGCCTGTCCGTGCATCGTGGGGTGCATCGTGAGATACCTGTCGAGACGAGAAGATGGCCGCAGGGATGATACGGGGGATGACGGGGATGGGCGCGAGGACGCAAGGGGGGATGATTCGGGGGACGCCGCGCGGAGGCCACAACACTGGCAGCGAACCTTGAAAGCCTAGACATCCGACATCTTCTCGGACATGCCCTCGTCGAGTGGCGGACCCACTTCGGAGTTGGATGCGGGCCTCGGTGGGAGTCCGAATCCGCCACCGTGCCTATGGCACGAAGTGGAACTCCCCGAGGCTCACAGCTGTGCTGCTGCTGCTGCTGCAGCTAGGATTGTAGTTTCTTGCGGGCCCGGACCACCTCGAAGATCTTCTGACCTGGATCAATGCAAACCCCCCTGTTCTTGACCCCGCGTTTAGGTTAAGGTTACCCCCCCCATTACCGCCCGCCTGATCCTCCCGTTTCTCCTCCCGTTCCTCCGCCTCCCCCGGTGCTGACCTGGACAAGTTCGCGGGTGGGTCCGTTGTGCTCCCAGTTTTAGGGGGTCTCGATTTCTCGATCGGGGGCCAGGGTCGAGCAAGCTCAGCCTAGGCCTGAAATGAAAAGGAAAAGGGGGGTGCAGGAGGGGTGGGGCAAGTCCTCCTGCTCCCTCTTGTTGCCTCCCGCTCCGCTGAAAGACTGCATGACTGCGGCTGCGGCCGAGGTCCTGGAACTCATCTTGAGTCGGGTGCCTTCCCATTCCTTCAGCCCTGCCCAAGGGTTCTGCCAATGAGGACCCGCCCTTGCACCCAGCTGCGAGTCTGAGCCGATCCTCCTCCCCGCGCGCGCTCGGGAGGAGGACGAGGAGGCGGCGGGGGCAGAGGCGGCGGCGCAGGAGGTGAGGGTCAACGATGGGGGCGACCGGCTCAGGGGGGGAAAAAACGAGCTTGAACATGCGATGCATCTCCGACAGACCGGCAAGAGGGCTCCGGTAGCGAAACTGCATGCTCCTGGGCGGGATGGGCATTCCGGCGCCCATCAGCGATGAGTGGGCGGCTGGGCGTCGCCTGAACGGGCCCCCTCTAACGTTACGTCGCTTGGAATGGAAGGAGCGGGTCTTGAGGGAAACGGGTTCAGGGCCCCAAGGCCTCCCCCCGCGACCCGTCATCTATCCCAAGTTGCTTTTTGACTGTCCCAGGGGCAGGGGAGGGCCGCGAAAGCTCGCCCTCGAGCAGCGAGCAGCCTGGGCCGGGCAGCGAGGCCAGCTGGCGCCCACGGTGGTCCTCGTACTGCTTGCGATCGTGGAACAGCTGCGCCTTGAACAGCTGCTCGACCTTCGAGGTGCGCGGTTCCAAGCCAGGCCCCCTCCTCCTCCTCCTCACCCTCCTCCTCCCTCCTCCTCCTCCTCCTCCTCCTCCTCCTCCTCCTCCTCCTCCTCCTCCTCCTCCTCCTCCTCCTCCTCCTCCTCCTCCCTCCTCCTCCTCCCTCCTCCTCCTCCTCCTCCTCCTCCTCCTCCTCCTCCTCCTCCTCCCTCCTCCTCTTCTTCTTCTTTTTCTTCTTCTTATATTATTATTATTATTATCCTTATTCTCCTTCTTCTTCTTCTGCTTCTCCTTCTTCTTCCTCGTCCTCCTCCTCCTCCTCCTCCTCCTCCTCCTCCCCCTCCTCCTCCTCCTCCTCCTCCTGCTCCCCCGCCTCCTCGCGTCGTGAGACAATCGCGACGGAGAGCTCTTGACCATCCTCGACCCTCAGGGGCCCTCCCCGTGCCCTGGCACCATGCGGAGGAGGAGGATGAGGAGAAGGAGGATGAAGAGGTGGACGAGGTGCAGGAGTAGGGGGAGGAGGAGCAGCAGGAGAAGTCCTCCTTCTCTTCCTCCTCCCTCTCCCTCCTCCTCCTCCTCCTCCTCCTCCTCCTCTTCCTTTTGCTCCTCCTCCTCATCCTGCTCCTGGTCCAGCTTTTGGTTCTGCTTCTCCTACTCCTCCTCCTCCTCCTCTTCCTCTTCCTCCTCCTGCTCCTGGTCCAGCTGTAATTCCTGCTTCTCCTATTCTTCCTCCTCTTCCTCCTCTTCCTCCTCCTCCTCCTCCTCGTCCTCCTCCTCGTCTTCATCCTCCTCCTTCTCCCCCTCCTCCCTCTCCCTCCTCCTCCTCCTCCTCCTCCTCCTCCTTCTCCTCCTCCTCCTCGTCTGCCTCCTCCTCCTCCTCGTCTGCCTCCTCCTCCTCGTCTGCCTCCTCCTCCTCCTCCTCATCCTCATCCTCCTCTTCCTCCTCCTCCTCGTCCTCCTCCTCGACCTCTTTGTTTTCTCCTTAGTCGTCTTCTCACGTATTATTGTTGTTATTGTTGGTGCCATCATTTTGAGTATAAGGAGTACGACGAGTATTGTTACTGTTATGTGTCTTATTGTGTGTCGGTTCCATATTGTGCTTTCTTATCCTGCGTATTAGTATGCCTACTCTTCGTGTGCTGATTATTCTAAGTGTTATGAGAATTCGTCTTCGGCTGCTTACCAGTATTATTCATCATAGTGATGTTCCAATTCTTCCACTTCTTCCTCCTCCTCCTCCTTCTCCTCGTCCTCTTCCTCCTCCTCCTCCTCCTCACTCTGTTCCTTCTCCTCCTCCTCTTCCTCCTCCTCACCCTCCTCCCTCCCCTCCTCCTCCTCCTCCTCCTTCTCCTCCTCCTCCTCCTCCTCCTCTTCCTCCTCGTCCTCCTCCTGCTCCACCTCGTCCTCATCCTCATCTGCCTCCTCCTTCTCCTCGTCTCCCCCTCCTCTCCCTCTTCCTCCTGCTCTTCTTCCTCCTTCTCTTCCTCCTCCTCGTCCTCACCTTCCTCCTCCTCCTCCTGCTCCTACGCCTCCTCCTCCTCCTTTTCCTCCTCCTCCTCTTCTTCCTCCTCCTCCCCCTCCTCCTCCTCCTCCTCCTCCTCCTCCTCCTCCTATTCCCCCTCTTCCTCCTCCTCCTCCTCCTCCTCCTGTCCCCTTGTCCCTGTTCCTCCTCCTCGTCTCCTTCCCTCTCTCTCGTCCTCCCTCTCTTCCTCCTCGTCCTCCTCCTCCTCCTCCCATTCCTGTGCCTCCTCTTCCTCCTCCCCCTCCCTCTTCCTCCTCGCGAGTTTCCTCATCAGGGTCTGTCCGATTCCTACTGCTCCTGTTCGCGCTTTTGTTACTGCTTCTTCTATTCCTCCTCCTCCTTCTCATCCCCCTCCTCATCTTTCTAGTTCTCCTCCTCCTCTTCGTCCTCCTCGTCCTCCTCCTCCGCCTCCTCTTCGTCCTCCTGCTTCTCCTCCTCCTTGTTCCCCTCCTCCTCCTCCCCGTTCTCCTCCTCCTGTTCCTCCTCCTCTTCCTCCTCCTCGTCCTCCGCCTCCCCCCTCCTCCTCCCTCACGTTCGTCTTTCTTCTCCTCCACCTCCTCTCCTGTGTCTCCTCATCCTCCTCTTCTTCGTTCTCGTCCTCCTGTTCCTCTTCCTGCTGGTGTGATCCTCCTCCTCCTCTTTCCACTGCGCCCCCACATATTTATGTTCGTGTGTATGTACACATTTATCCACATGTATATACATATGTGTTTGCATAGGGGGAGGAGGGACGTCGTCGTCATTATCGTCCGTCGTTGACCCGGTCGTCGGTCGTCGTCGTCGTCGTCGTCGTCATCGTCCGTTCCCACACGCATCGGGAGCGCCCCGGATCGGCGGCACTGGCCGGAGGCCATTACAATCCACATGTATAGACATATGTGTTTGCATCTTTGAGTGTAAGCACATGCATATGTATTTATGTAAACATGTCTTTCTACTATCGTATCATGTTTTTCTATATATAGGATCGCCCCCGAGCACCCCCTCGAACGAAGGAAGGACTGGGATGGCATCCTCTTCATCCCCACTCTCTTCCATTATCCTGCTGTTATTCCTCCTCCTGCTATTCAGCTAGTCGCCGTTCCGCCGATTGCAACCCAATCGATTGCTCCCCATCCGATTGCAGTCCAACTGGTTGCAACGCAGACGATCACACGCCAACCGATTGAACACCAGTCGAGTGCGATCACATCGATTGCACTTCAACTCGATAGCAAGCCAATCGGTTGAACGCCAGCCGAATCAAAACCCCCTTCACGTCGCCCCCCCATCTTCCTCATCCACTCTTGCTCCCCCCTCCCAACTTCAATTACTTCGCCCCTCGTCATCCTGCTCCCGCGTCCTCTGTCTTGGAACCCGCTCGCAGCAGGTGTGAGAAGAGGAGTATGGGGTAGGAAACGGGGGGGAGGGAGAAGGGGGCGGGAGAGGGAGAGGGGGGGTGGGTGGGGCCGAGAGGACGAAGAGAACGAGGTCCCCGACTCGCACTGTCTACCTGTATTGCTTGCGTGTTCCCTCAGCCCTCAACGCCTGCGTGCTCAAGGCCCTTCTCCGTATTTTTTCGCTCTTATAGAACGCGTGGTCCATCCTGCAAAGGGCACCTGGCAGCTCGTTCTGAAACTCCAGCAAGGCAACCTTCGCGAGCAAAATATTACGACGGCCAAAAACACGACAGCCAAGCTGAATAACAAACCGTAGTTCCAGAAGCTGCTACCGCGGCAAATCGCAAAACTGGAGCAACAAACCTCGATGAAACGCATGATATGTTTGTTTGTTTGATCTCTCTCTCTCTCTTTCTATCCCTTTCTCTCTCTCTCTCTCTCTCTCTCTTTCAACGAGAGCACCAACTAAGCGCATTGCCGCGCCTGTTCGCTCAGGTTGAGCGGCATCAGCGCGCCGCCGCGGAACGCTGGGAGCCAGGAGAGAAACCGCACTTTTCTCTCGGCCGAAGACGAAAAGGGAAGCAACGGCACCAGGGAAACAAGAATCTACAGGACACAGAACATGCTGTCTACCAACTCCATGTTCCTCTCGTCCGTAAGCGCAAGAGAAACAACGCCACCGCAGACGTCGGGGGTCTTCTGACCCGGGTCAGACCCAGGTCAGCAAAAATCCAAAAACTGCAATGCAGGAGACAAAACTGCAACGCAGGTCTTCGCAAACCCGGGTCGGCCAATATGTGCGGCCGCCTCGCGGCCACGAGCGGCTCGCTAACCCGGGTCAGCCAGAGGGGGTCTTCGCAGGATCCTGCAGGATCCGGTGCCGTGGCTGACCCCCGTTTGCACTGAGCCCATCTCAGCGCTCCCGAAGACGGCCGCGACGGCAGCAACCGCAGACGCCCTGGGTCCGCCCGCGCCTCCGGCTGCCACCGTTCGCTCTGCTGCGTCGCGGCCGCGCCAGCGGCGAGATCGGGCGCGGGCCTCGAAGGAGCAGCTGGCCCACTGCAGGAGAGAGACGTGGCTTCCGCGGAGGCCGAGGCGGCCGCCGCCGCGAGGGCCGCCCCGGCCTGGAGCGCGCGGCGCCGCTCCTGCTTTGGCGCGCGCGACCAGGAACTGCTGCCGAAGGGCCTGGGCCGCTCGGGGGGTCGGGGGAAACCTCCCGCTTTCGTGTCTCACGGGGCGGCTCGAAGAAGCTGCCGGGGGCCCGCTGCGGGAGCGCGACCACGCGGCAACCGCCAGGGAACGCGGCGCCCGCTCGAGGAAGAGACGCCCGGCGGAGACGGCGGGGACACGGGCGACGGCGGGGCAGCGGAGGCGACGGCGAGCAGACCGCAACGCATAATCAGTGAGAGCATATTACGTCTTCCGTCGCAACAAGAAGCGTCATTTTGCAGGGTGCCCTCGGCGAAGCGAAACGCGCTAGCGAGGTGGAAACATTCGCGCTCTGGACATCCATGAAACAAAAAATCCGACGGGTGGCGAAAGTACGACGACGGCGGCGACTGCCACCCCCGCCCGCGCGCGCCGGCATTCTGCGGGGGGAACAGGGAATGCGGAGGCAGCTGCGACACGGGCAGGCGCGAGGCCGAAGAGGCAGAGGCGAACCTACAACGACGCAGCAGTGATCAGCGTTTCGAGGCGCCGTCGAGGACGCCCGCGTTTCAGAGCACCCAGAGGAACAGGGAACGCACGGATTTATTAGGAGAGCAGGAATCGTCTTGTTGCTTACACAAAAAACATGGCAAGCTTCAGCATCTTCGCCATGAAGCTCGGCATGAGCCAGAAGAGGTTCTCGGGCGGCTCTCCGCGTTTCTCGAAGATGTCGTAGAGGCGGGCGTCATTCTCTCAGTAGGTCGTGTAGAACAACGCCACCACCAGCTCGATGCGCCTCCTGTCCTTTTCATTGAAGATGTGCTCATTTTATTTGCACACAAAATAAGCGGACTTCTCAACCCCGCAATGCGGCCCTCGCTACGGAGTGCGGCCCTCGGCGGCGGCGGGGAACAGGGGCGCCGGCTCGGCAGGGGGGGGGGGGCGCAGCAACCTGCCGCAGTGCGGGGGCAGCGGGGAACGCCGGCATCTTCTGCAACGACACTGGGGGCGCCCTCGTGGATGCGAAAAGCGCAAATGACGAGGGCGCATCGGCGTTTTGAACTCCAGAACGCAGCGGAGTCGACGGTTGGTGAGAAGGGCCACCAGCAGCGACCACAACGACGAGTACAATGCCCGCCCGCGCGCGCTGGTTCAACGCAGGGTAAGAGGGCGCACGCTTGCTCCATTCCCGCCTGCGCGCGGGGACAGAGGCAGATGCACAGCTGAAAGGGGCTCAGGAGAACCCGCGGCGACGCAGAGGTGGCGATGCAACGAAGGCGCTGCAGCGCCAAAGCGCAGACAACTCAACAAACAAAAAAAAATCGGCGTCCAGGGCGGCCCCAAGGACGCCAGCGTTGCAGGGCGCCCAGAAGAACAGGGGACGCAGCTGCACAGTAAAGAAAGTTAAGCAGTTGAACAAAAAACAAACAAGGAATCACCCCCACATGCGGCCCTCGCATTTCGAAGTCGCGATGGTTCGTGCGCGCGCTTAGAACCCGCGGCGTCGCCCTCGCTGCCTTGCCGAGCCGACGCCATCGGCTAGTGTGGATGAGGGCCAGAAGCGCTACCCGCCCGCGATCGGGGGCAACGCGCGCCCTTCCGCCCCCTCCTCTTCCCCGCCGTGGAAAACCATCTGGACCCCCCTCCAACAGAAACCGCGGCAGCACAATCATCCTGGCGAAGGTCCCAACCCTATGCGGTTGTGATTGTCGCCGTTGTGGGCATCGCCTCCTGTGGAGCTCCTCGCGGGGGCGCGAGGCATGTGGAGGGCGTGCCTAAGTGGGGCGGGGGCGCATGCGGGCGCTGCCACTGGGGCCTTCGGTGGAGCTCCCCGTGGGGCCACGAAGCGCGCGAGGGGCGCGCCGACTTGGGCGGGGGGGGCATGTGGTCGCAGCCCCTGGGGCCTTCGGTGGGGCTCCCGGTAGGACCGCGAAGCGCTGTGCCAGGTGACGCGGGCTCATGCGCTCACGCCCACAAGGGCCTTCGGTGGAGCTCCCCACGGGGCCGCGACGCGCCGCGCTGGGTGGCTCCGGACGCGCACGGCCACAACCACAGGGGCCTTCGGTGGGGCCCCCTGTCGGGCCACGAAGCGCCGTGCTGGGTGGCGCGGGACGCGTCCCCCCTGACCAAATGTGCGAGGGGTGTGCCGACATGGGTGGCGGGGACGCATGCGGGCTGCGCCACTGGGGCCCTCTGTGCAGCTCCCTATGGGGCCACGACGCTTGTGAAAGTGAGGAGGCGGGGAGAAACGCAACGTGTGAGTGGTGTGCCGACATGGGTGGCAGTGACGCATGCAGGCTGCACCACTGGGGCCTTCGGTGCAGCTCCCTATGGGGCCACGAAGCTTGAGAAGGTGCACCGATACAGGTGGCGGGGAACTACGGAACGAGTGAGGGTGTTCCGAACTGGGTGGCGGGGACGCGTGCGGTCTGTGCCACTGGGGCCTTCGGTGCAGCTCCCTATGGGGCGACGAATCGTGTGAGGGGTGCGCCAAAATGGTGGGCACGCGGGGAGCAGAGGCAGGGATGGGAGGAGAGAGGGGGAGGGAGGAGGAAGGAGAGAAGAGGAGAGGAGACGCGGGGCGCAGTCTCTTCAAAACGAGGACCCAGCACTACAAGATGGTTGGGAACAAACATTTGTTCGGAAGCATGTCTGTCAGAAAGCACCACATTGTGTCAGGTTGTTATCTTGATGTGCTGTTTTTTGTTGGTGGTGGTTTGCAAGGGATGGGGAGCAAGAGGAGGAGGAGGAGGATGAGGAAGGGGAACAGAAAACGATGAGTGAATGCTTCGCGTTGTTGTGTTGGTGGTTCGGAGGGTGTTGTTCGTTTTGTTTTTTTGGGGGGCGGCTAACCATACATACACATGTGTGTCTATCTAAATCGATAACGTACTTTTACTGTCCCCCCTGCCTCCCAAAATCCCTCCCCCCTCCCTTGTTCACGCTCTCCCAAATACCAAACCCTCGAAGCATGCACACGCAAGAGGAAAACTCTCTCACTCTCTCACTCTCTCCCGTCATCGTCGTCGTCGTCGCCGTGGCCGTGGCCGTGGCCGTGGCCGTGGCCGTGGCCGTCGCCGTCGCCGTCACCGTCACTGTCGCCGCCGCCATCGCCGTCGCTGTCGCTGTCGCTGTTACCGTGATCGCCGTCGCCTTCGCCGTCCTCGTCGTCGGGGTCGTCCCTGGCCCTCCCGAACGCCTTGTTCGGCACGGTGTCGTACGGGTAGTCGGCCACGTCTGGGCCAGGCTCGTTGGACGTGGACGCGGTGGAGCTGGACTGCCAGCCACTCGCGGCAGGGGGAGGGGAGGGGGAGGGAGGTCGTCTTCGTTCTTGTTGTCGCAGTTGTTGTCGTTGCTGCTGTTGCTGCTGCTGCTGTTGTTGTTGCTGCTGCTGCTGTTGTTGTTGCTGTTGCTGTTGCTGTTGTTGTTGGTGGTGTTGTTGCTGTTGTTGTTGTTGTTGTTGTTGTCCTTGTTGTTGTTATTGTTGTTGTTGTTGTGGTTGTTGCTGTTAGGTGTTTGTGTTGCTGTTGCTGTTGTTATTGGTGCTGTTTGTTGTTGGTGGTGTTGTTGTTACTGGAAATGTTACTGTTACTGTTAATGTTAATGTTACTGTTGCTGATCTTATTATTGTGGTTGTTGGTTTTGATGCTGCAGTTGTTGCTGCCACAGTCGTCCTCCTCTTCGTCCTCCTCGCTCCACCTCCTCCTCCTCGTCCTCCTCGCCCTTCCTCCCCCTCACTCCTCCTCCGCATCACCCTGGGCATCGAGCTGGAATCGGCGATACCCCGCCGAGAGATCGCCGAGAGGTCGGCCATATCGGCCCCCGATACTGAAAAGCCGCTCGTGCCCGTGCGGGGAGAGCTGCCGGGCCCCCACTGGCGAGGAGCGGGCGGACGGGCTTCCACTGCACTTGTGGATGCCATGACAGTGGACACCCTAACAACTCTTGCACTGAATCGAACCTGTATTCAACACGTGTAAGACATGTTCCAAACACGATTCGAACATGTTTTTTACACACTGAAGACACGTTTGAAGCACTGTTTGGACATCGGGGAAGGATTTGGCAGCATGCTTCCCCTCAGCCTATCTCCCCCCCCCCCCGATCTCGCCCCGGCGGGTGCCCCCTCTGGGCCCAGGCTGGGGCCAACGAGCGGTCTCGGAGCCCCTCACCCTCGCTCCTCGAAGCCCAGCCTCTCCGGCGCTTCCCTGGGCGTGCGACGCCGTGCGGGGTCCCGAGAGCTCTCGACCCCTTCCCCGAGGGCTCCGAACTTCGCGCTTCGCGCTGCGCGAAGCTCGAATAACTTCGCGCTCTCGCGCCGCCTCCCAGGGGAGGAGAGGAGGACGAGGGGGAATCGGAGCCGAACCGCGAAGCGCGAAGCGCGAAGAACTTCGCGCCCTCGAGGGCGCCCTTTGCTCCCGCGGGGACCTGCTCTCTTCGTCGCGGGTGCGCCTGGACGGCCCCGCGGGGCCCAAGGAGGCCAAGGCCCGAGCTGGAGGCCCGGGACACCCGGGCGGAGGAGAGGCGGCCGGGCGGGGAAGAGGCGGAGAGGGGGGGGGGACGGGCAGGGAAACGGGAGAGACGAGTGAGGAAGGGCGAGGAGGGGGGGCACACGGGAGAGCGGGAGGAGGTGGAGAGGGAAGACCGGGGAGCAGAGGAAGAGGCGGAGGAGGGGGGGGGGGGACGGGCAGGGAGACGCGAGAGACGAGCGAGCAGGGCGAGGAGGGGGGGGCATACGGGAGAGCGGGAGGAGGGGGAGAGGGAAGACCGGGGAGCAGAGGAGCAGGAGAGGGGGGCCTGTAGGAGCAGGCGGGGCCGCGCCTGACGTAGACGGTGGTCAAATACTTGGCCATCTGCACCACCTGAAGGCCACTCGGAGTCCCATCCGTGACCCTCCAGTTAGGTCGGGCATGTCCCCCATTTTGGGCGAAAATGGAGAAATAGTCAACACATGCTCCAAAATCATCGAAGGATGCTAGAAACATCGTCTCCATATTTTTGCTGACCATGTTTGAACTTTCCTCCTGTAGAGTGACAGGCCCGACCTAACCCTCCATCCCTCCCCCACCCGCTTCCTCGCTCCGTCTCCCTCGCTCCGGCCGCTTGCTCCCTCCCCCGGCCCTCCTCTGGTGAGGAGGGGCGGGCCCTCCTCTGGGGGGAGACCGGACACCGCGTCACTACAATGCACTCAGAAGGGGAGAAGGGAGGGGGCGAGCGAGGTACCTAGAGGGAGACGCTGGGATGGAGGAAGAGAGTTGTAAGGGGGGCGGGGGGGAGTGCGGGAGAGAGGGAGCCGGTGGGAGAAAGGGCGGGAGAACGGTGGAGAACGGGCGGGAGGGAGGGAGGAATGGGAATGGGAATGGTCAATTCGCGAAGCGAAAAAGATATGAATTAAGGAGGGATGCGGCCTCTGGCTCGTTGCCCCGACAACGACAAAAGCTTTGGCCAGAGCCCATCCGCAATCCTGTTTAAACAATCTTGTCGGGGTTTGTTGGTTCTGGACGGCGTCCTGGACTGCGCCCCGTGGGCGCCAGCAGCCGCCGCCGCCGCAGCGCGCCACCGCCGCAGTGCGCCACCGCCGGCCGCCACCCACGGAGAGGCCACCGACCACCTCCATCCCCCTCTGCCCCCATCGACCCCTCTCTTCCTCTTCGCAGGTCGGGCGAGTCCTCCCACAGGCGGATTCTGGAGGAGAGAAGTCGAGCGCACAGCCAGAACGCAGTCAAGAACAGTCAGACGTGTTCAGAAACTCGTTCCCAGAGTGTTCTTGACAATCTTTGAATATTCCTCCTGTAGAGGGACGTGCCCGACCGAATCCTATTCCCGTCATGGGAGAGGCATCGGGGCGAGGGAGGAGGTGGTGGCGCATAGTTCTGGGCCTCGTGGCCCAGCCCCGCGGCCAGCCCCCACCCCCCGCGAGTCATGAGGGGGCCTCCTCGGCACACCCCCTCGCCTTCACCTCGGCCTCCGACGACGACGACCGACGACCATGACGATCTGGCCGCAAGAAGACGGATCGTCGAAGGAGGAATCGATGTCGTCGTCGCACTCGCAACCGCTCCTCCCACTTCGCTCGGAGACTACATCCCCAGGACGAAAGTTGTTTGTTTCCTCCCTTGGGCCCAGAACGACGGCTTGAAGTCATTCACTTCCGACTCATCTTCGCCGTTTGCATCTCAAGAGGAACATCTTCAGTCCTGCGTAAGTATGCATCAGGAGGTGGAGGTGAAGGAGGGGAAGGATGAGGAGGACGAGCATGACACTGGCGGGGCTTCTTGCTGCCGTCTGAAATCCCCCGCGCGCGGCGGCCGGAGGGCTCCGAGTGGTACCCGTCAAGCCGCAATGGGCGCGAGACGGAGTCGCTCGACGATGTGGGATTCGCAAGAGGAAGAACGGGAGAACGAGCAGCAGGATGATAACAGTCGAACTTGATTGGAGAGGACCCGCGAGAGGACACAAGACCCTTCCGAAGGCCACATCGCCATAGGAGAGTAAGAATGCACGCGTCGAGAGGCACAGGACACAAGGGTATCCTTGAGCTGGCAGGGTCGACCTACTGATCCGGGCCGCCTGTAAGCAACAGGCGGCGAAGGAGTAGCAGGAGATGCAAGCGGAGCTTGCCTCTCTCCCCTGGCCGTTGCTGCGCGGAACGCCTCGGTCTTCATGAGATTCGGCAGCCAGGAGGGGAGACAGAGAGCGAAAGAGAGAGAGTGAGAGAGAGAGAGAGAGCAGCAACACAAAAAAGTGCAGACGGAGCAGGAAGAGGAGGGAGGAGGAGGAGGCGGAGGAGGAGGAGGAGGAGGAGGAGGAGGAGATGGAGGAGATGGAGGAGGAGGAGGAGGAGGAGGAGGAGGAGGAGGAGGGGAAGGAGAAGGGGATGAGGAGGAGGAGGAGGAGGAGGAGGAGGAGGAGGAGGAGGAGGAGGAGGGGGAGGAGGAGGAGGGCGAGGGGGACGAGGAGGGCGTCGAGGCGGGCGGGCCCGCGCGACTCGAGCAGCAGGCGCCCGCTGCCCGCGGCGCGGCCTGCACCGGGTCCAGCGCACCGAAGGTGTGGGAGCAGGTGCCCTCGGCCTGCGGCGCACGGCGGCAGGAGAGCCCAGAATCGAATCGACAAGTCGGATCGGCGATCGACATCAATCGGATCGGCGGAATTCGGCAGCCGAATCGGGAAAAGTCGAATCGGCGGAAATCGGCAGTTTAGCAAGCCTCCATTGAAAAATCGGAGCCCAAATCGGAATCCAACATCGAATCGGATCGGAATCGGAAGCCACCGAAATCGAATCTAATCGAATCGGGGGAATCGAGACGACCCCTGGCACGGCGGGCAGCGCGAAAGCGCGACCCCCCCTGCGAAGCTGCCGAGGGCCACTGGTCGGCGGCGGGCGAAGGGGGGGGAGCGTCGAGGCTCGAACTTCGAGGTGCGAGGCGCTCTTTTTCGCAGTTTTCGGCCCCCGGGGGCCGTTCTCGGGCCCCGCAGGGCCCCCGAAACTTGATCCGGGGTCAAAAACCGTGTCGGCTGTACCCCAGAAAGGGGTCCGGGGGCCGATTTTGACCGACATTCAGCGGCGCGCCCCGAGGAGGAGAGGGCCTTCTCAGAAGGCGGCGGGACTTCTCAGGAGCCCTCGAGCCTTCTGAAAGGTTTTCTGCGTCTTCGGCGAAGGCTCGGGAAACTTCTCAGAAGGCCAGGGGACGTCCGAGCCTTCCGAGGAGGCCGTCTCCTTCTCACTTCCACCTCTGGCTCGCCGCCGAACTGGCGTACCGTTTTGTTGTTCCTGGAAATGGGACTGGCCAAAATTGCTTTTTTAGTAGGTAGCTGTGCCGGACCTCGACTTGCGTCAGGCCTGAGCAGTGCGATGTATGACGAGATCGCGTGGGGCCAGCGAATTGATCTGTTGAGGATATTTCTGGCAGTATGCAGGTTTTGCAGGATTTGTTGGGACGTTTCAAGCGAATCACTTACTTTGCAGAGTGTGAGGATGTCTCGAGCGAAACGCTGGTTCTGCAGAGTCCGTTGAGGATGTCACATGCAACATGCTCGTTTTCAGGTGTCCAGGCCACCCATGGAGATATCCACCTTGAGGTCCTCTGTCTCTTCGCGCGTAGAGACAGATGTGTGTACGGAGAGGGCACCTCACACGTGTCATGCGGTCGTTGGATTGGCATGTGTTTTCCCGTGTCTGGGCCCCCCCAGAGGGGATCGTCCTTTCCCCGCATTTCGGCCCGTCCAGTGTCGGTGCGCCCCGGCTCGGTTCGGACTCGCCCCTTCTGGGCCCGTCCCGCTCGGGAGCCGAACCGGGCCTTGCGCTCGAGCTGACGGCGCGCCCCGAACATGAGATCCAGATCAATTCGGTCAGGACTGGGGCGATAAGGACCACTTGATTCACAACACCATCTTCCGGGATGGACAGACCTCCCTTTAGCAAAACGTGGTTTAGTGAAAACGACCTGAGGCCCAAACCTGGCGGGCGCAAGCCTGGAAAATAACGGCCACGGCGCCCTCTCGAGAACCGAAAACGGACAATTCACTAATCGCCGTGCCACTGTAAGGGGTCCTGTCCACCCCCGAGTCTTAGAACCGTGCCCCTGGCTTCACGCGTCTGCACCCCTCTCCAGGCTCGAGCCGACGGGCAGGGCACTCCTCCGACGGCAGACCCGGGAGGGGGAGGAGGAAGAGCGAGGAGGCACACCGCTGTCGAGGAGCCTGTGAGCGGGCAGTTCGGTCATGGACCTCCCAGGCTGCCCAAGACCGCAAGCGTGATTACAGTCGATCCGTATGGTAAGGATGCGCGGTAAGGACACAAGGGCCTCGGGGGGCCATGGCAGCGTGTGTCGAACGAGGCTGGCCAGCGAACGTTGCCAAGGATGGGCCGAATGGGGCAAGGATGCTCTGGGAAATTCTTGGGAAGTCGCTTATCCTGACTAGGCGGGTTGACTCCACCCATCGTTCGGAAGGAGTGGGAAGAAGCACGAAACCAGGAGGCGCTGACAACAAATTGAGTGCCTCCCCGCCCCCTGAGGGGGGATGAGACGGAACAGCCGTTCGATTCTCGAGGCAGAGCGGCGCCAAGCATATGCTGGAATCTGGGAAGCCAACACAGCTGCCTGCCGTCAACGAGCGACGGGCACCTGGCCGCTCCTCTTCGGTGGCACCTCATTGGAGTCTCCCATACCATCTTGTCGGCTCTTGCGAATCGATGCTAATCGACGCTGGATCGATGCTAAATCGACGCTGGCCGACGCTATCTCATCGACTCCCAAACGCTACTCGACGCTTATCGACGCTAAAGACGGAATTAAGAGGGTGCACCAGGCTCCCATGATTGGCTACCGAACTAAACTATGCTGGAATCTCGGCCGCGAAAACAACCCTCGCAAGAAACCCAGCCCTGAAACTCGCAGGCGCGAGATGTAAGTGGGGGGGGAGCCCAGAGCACCATGAACGCAGCAGCTTTCTCAGCAGCCATGGGAAGCCACCGCGCAGCGCGCGGAGCGAAGAAACCCGGGGTACCCTGACGACCGACCGGCATAATGTTCTTAGAACATGAACCCGATGGCTTCAAACAAGGCAGTCCCAACCAGAAATGCTCGAAGAACACTTCGTGGAGACCACAGAAGGTTCCGAGACCACTTTTTGGTGGGCCTATAGGCACGCCAGGACGCTTTGCCGCTGCTTGATTGCTGCGCGTCCCCGCTGTGCAGCTGCCTGCCGTCCACGAGCGAGCTCGGGAGCGGCCAAGAGGGGGGTGTCCAAGAGGGGGGGGTGCGAAGCATGACGGGCGGCTCGTGCGCGGCCCAGCGGGGGGGCCAGGAACGTAAGGAAATAAGAAGAGGCGCCATGAAATCTGAGAAAAATATCACGGCCCACGCCATGATATCCCCCCCCCTGCTCCTCCTCCTCCTCCTCCTCCTCCTCCTCCTCTCCTCCTCCTCTTCTTCTTCTTCTTCCTCTTCCTCTTTCCTCTCCTCCTCCTCCTCCTCCTCCTCCTCATCCCCCCTCCCCCTCCCCTCCCTCCTCCTCCCTCCTCCTCCTCCCTCCCCCTCCTCCCTCCTCCCTCCTCCCTCCTCCTCCTCCTCCTGCTCCTCCCTCCTCCTCCTCCTCCTCCTCCTCCTCCTCCTCCTCCCTCCTCTCTCCTCTCTCCCCCTCCTCCCTCCTCCCTCCTCCCTCCTCCTCCTCCTCCTCCTCTCCTCCCCCTCCTCCCCTCTCCTCCTCCTCCTCCTCCCTCCTCCTCCTCCTCCTCCTCCTCCTCCTCCTCCTCCTCCCCCTCCTCCTCCTCCTCCTCCTCCTCCTCCTCCTCCCCTCCTCCTCCTCCTCCTCCTCCTCCTCCTCCTCCTCCTCCTCCTCCTCCTCCCCCTGCTCCCTCCTCCCTCCAACCCTCCTCCTCCTCCCCTCCCCTCCTCCTCCTCCTCCTCCCTCCTCCCTCCTCCCCCTCCCTCCTCCTCCTCCTCCTCCCCTCCTCCCTCCTACCTCCCTCCCTCCTCCCTCCTCCCTCCTCCCCTCCCTCCTTACCCCCCTCTCCCCTCCCTCCTCCCTCCTCCCTCCCTCCTCCCTCCTCCTCCTCCGCCTCCCTCCTCCTCCTCCTCCTCCTCCCTCCTCCTCCCTCCTCCTCCTCCTCCTCCTCCTCCTCCTCCTCCTCCTCCTCCTCCTCCTCCTCCTCCCTCCTCCTCCTCCTCCCCCTCCCCCCCCCCCCCCCCCCTCCCCTCCCCCCCCTCCTCCTCCTCCTCCTCCTCCTCCTCCTCCTCCTCCTCCTCCTCCTCCTCCTCCTCCTCCTCCTCCTCCTCCCCCTGTCGGCTTGGCCGGGGAGGCGCGAGCCACGCCGCTGGCCCTGGGCAAGGCGGGGTCCCTTCCGAAGGGGGTCGCAGAAAAGGGTGCAGTCGTTCCTCACGTGGCTCAGGGGGCGTAAATTAGCCTCTCTTTCGGTGGTAGACGAGCCTCCCTGTAGTAGACCTCTCTTTATAGTGAAAACGGCCTAGGGCCGAAACCGACGGACCTGGACCCGCAAACATAACGGCCGTGACGCCCTCTCGCGAACCGAAATCGGCCAATTCACAAATCGACGTGTCAGGGTAGGAGGTCTATCAACCTCCTACTCTTACGGACCAACAGTGCCGAATGCAACGCATCCTGCACCCCCATCCAGCACGACCCAGCACGAACGATTGCACGAACTAGTGCGTACATTTTGACACCCCCTCTGCAAAGGACCCATTCGCCTGAATCTGACACCGATCTGAGGCCCAATATTCGCCTGGCCAGGAACGGTGGAGGTTAGGAGGCAACTGCTTGGAGGTCTTCGTCGGAAGTATCAGGGAGAATTGAGTCTCACTGGGGGGCCATTGCGCCAGATTAGGCCGCGGAGTAAGCGAGATGAAGCGAGATTCAACTGGACTAAGCGGGATTGAGCGGGATTAAGCCGGATTAGACCGGATTTCGGAACAGGGCAAGGTCAGACTTTGACCTCCCAGGAGTCGCATCCGAATGTAGGTGCATGGTTGGCGCCCTCAGGACGGAGGAAGGTCAAGGCGGGGCGGGGGGAGGAGGGGGAGGAGGCAGAGGGAGGGGGGGGTAGGTGCGTTCGTCGCAATCCTCACGTCCCACCGACGCCACCCCTGCCTCAAACACCCGTGTTTCCTCCCTGCGCTTCCTCCGTCTGGTGTTCCACTTCTCGGAGTTTTTTGCATTAGGCTGACATCAAGCAATGGTGCTCGTTGCGTCCCCTCCTCCTCCTCCTCCTGCTCCCCGAAGGGAGTCAAGTAGGAGGAACGGGCGACGAAGCAAGGGAAGAGAGGGCGGGATGACGTCCGCGACCCCACAGTCCCATCGTTCCCCAGGCGCTGGCGGCAAGGAGTGTCCTGGTGCTCGCGCAGCATCTTGTAGAGCTTCTCCGAGACCTTGGCACCCGTGAAGTGCAGCGGCACGGTGCCCTGGAGCTTCACGACGTCCTCCACCTCTCGACTCACGAACGACAGCGGAGGACGACTGACTTCCAAGAGGAGGCTGAGGAGGGGAGGCGAAGAAAGAGCGATATAGGAGAAAGAGGAGCAGGAGGTGGTGGTGGTGGTGGTGGTAAGCATCGAGTGGTCCAGCGTTCAGCTCGGCGGATCGGCGGCGGCCGATGGGCGGCGTGGGATCGCTGCCCCCGCCGGTATCAAACAATCGCCACCCCTCGTGGCTCCCTGTCCACGAGGTCATGGCTGGAGCAGGCGGATGGAAGTCAGGCGACACGAACTGACACAAACTCAGGGCTAGGGTCTTGTCTAGAAGTACACCGCCACCAGGAGGAAGAGGAGGAGGACAATGGTGGCCAAAATTCGCCGACGACCTATTGGCAACGAAACGTGCCGTGCGGAACTCTCCGTCACAGGAGGAGGAAGACGAGGAGGAGGGAGGGTGCGATGAGGGAGGGGGACAGAGCAGGAATAGGAAATCCCACAAGCCTTTTGGACGATAGGTGGTTTAACGAGGGTGTCTTTCCTCTTCCACAACCCCTCTGCCCTTCGGGGAGGGGAGCCCTCCCCCTCCCTTCCCTGAGTTTATATATACACACCTATATATATATGTATGTATGTATGTATGTATGTATGTATGTATGTATGTATGTATGTATGTATGTATGTATGTGTATATATATATATATATGTATATATTCCTCTTCCTGTATTTCTATAAGCCCGGGCGGGGGGAAAACCCGTCACCCCGCCCCCCCCCCAAAACCGGACTCCGGGGACCTGGGGCTTTGGAGCCCTCCGGACGGGCCTCGAAGCGGCCACCGGGCCTCGCAAGGCGTTTCGCCAAGCCTTCCCAGCACACTTAGGGCGATCAGGGGGTCATCGGAGACGTCCCAGAGACCCCCAGACAGCACAATAGCGCTCCAAGAGTGACCGACGTGACCTCAAGATGGCCCAAGAAGCCTCCAGCACGGCCCGAAAGAGGTTTCCAAGAGCACTCCCAAGAAGGCCCCCCGAGGCAAAAATCATTGATTGTCTGTAGGTGTTTGGTGAAATTTGGGGTTCTCCTCTTTTCGGCTTCCCGACGCTCCAAGACGGCGGTCTTCTGGGCGTCCGAAGCCGCCTGGGGGCTCCCAAATCGCCCCACAACCATCCGAAAGGGCTTCCAGGCAGTCCAAGAGAGCCCCAAAACGGCACAACACGGGTTCAAGATGGCCCTCAGAAAGCCCCATGGCGGCCCGAGATGGCCCAAAGACACCCTCCGAATAATTCCAAATCGTGATGCGGTCGTTCAGGGAGACGGCGGTTGGAGGCAGGGTGGTCCGAGGAAGCCTCCGGAGGCCCCCAAAATACGCCCAGGAGGCCTCCAGAAGGCCTTAAGAAAGCCCGAAACAACTTTAGTGAGGCCCCTAGAGGCTCTCCAATGAGGAGCCCCCGCAAAAAAGAGCTGAGGAGGATGGAGAAAATGCGCAGGGTATGGCGAAAATAAGGAACAAAAAACATGGAGGACGGATAACGAATCACATCAATATAGCGGCGATGCCGGAACATACAACCAGGAGTTATCAATAAATTGTCGGCTCGACCTTCCTGACATTCCGCCTGCATACCGAACTTCAAGGACCAAGGTGCATGGCGCGAAGCGCCACTGCAGTCTTGTATATATATATATATACTAGAACCACGCGCGCGCTTCGCGCGCGCTTAGGTTCTGTCGAGTCACAGACCCAGGAATCGTTGCGAGAAGAAATTGGTGACGCGAAGCGTCTTGGGGGCGTCCTTGGACGTCTGGGGTCTCCTGGGGCCTCTTGAGGGGCCTCCTTGGGGCCTCCTGGCGGCCTCTTGGGGCGGAAGGCTCGAGCTTGCGGTTCGTGGTCCCCCTCTGGGCCCCCTCTTGGGCCCGTCTTGGGGCCCTCTTGGGCCATCTTGGGCGCCTCTTGGGCCGTCTTGGGGCCCTCTTGGGCTGTCCTGGGGCCCTCTTGGAAGCTTCTTGGGCCGTCTTGGGGCGGTCTTGGGCGCCTCTTGGGCCGTCCTGTAACGTCGGAAAGCCCAAAAGGCGACTTGGTTGAAAATGTACGTTTTACGAACGGAATGGGCCAATTTTTGCGTCTAGGGGCCCTCTTGGGACGCATGTTGGAGGCTTCTTGGGGCGTCTTGGGGGCGTCCTTGGACGTCTGGGGTCTCCTGGGGCCTCTTGAGGGGCCTCCTGATGGCCTCCTGGCGGCCTCTTGGGGCGGAAGGCTCGAGCTTGCGGTTCGTGGTCCCCCTCTGGGCCCCCTCTTGGGCCCGTCTTGGGGCCCTCTTGGGCCATCTTGGGCGCCTCTTGGGCCGTCTTGGGGCCCTCTTGGGCTGTCCTGGGGCCCTCTTGGAAGCTTCTTGGGCCGTCTTGGGGCGGTCTTGGGCGCCTCTTGGGCCGTCCTGTAACGTCGGAAAGCCCAAAAGACAACTTTGTTGAAAATGTACGTTTTACGAAGGGAATGGGCCAATTTTTGCGTCTAGGGGCCCTCTTGGGACGCATGTTGGAGGCTTCTTGGGGCTCTTGGGGGCGTCCTTGGACGTCTGGGGTCTCCTGGGGCCTCTTGAGGGGCCTCCTGGGGGCCTCCTGGCGGCCTCTTGGGGCGGAAGGCTCGAGCTTGCGGTTCGTGGTCCCCCTCTGGGCCCCCTCTTGGGCCCGTCTTGGGGCCCTCTTGGGCCATCTTGGGCGCCTCTTGGGCCGTCTTGGGGCCCTCTTGGGCTGTCCTGGGGCCCTCTGGGAAACTTCTTGGGCCGTCTTGGGGCGGTCTTGGGAGCCTCTTGGGCCGTCCTGTAACGTCGGAAAACCCAAAAGGCGACTTTGTTAAAAATTACCTAACAGCGTAGACTGATAGGTTTCTAGTTGACTCAAAAGAGCTCACAGATCACTCCACAGGGGGGTCCGGGCAGGCGTTGGGAGTTGCCGGCCGGCAGGGTGCCGGGCCTGTGCCGGGCTCGTTTTTCACCAACAGTCACACACTTCGTGCTCGTCGACCTCTCAGAACCCCATTCCCAGGCCACATTCTGAATAACCGGATGCAACAGTCACACACTTCGTGCTCTTCGACTTCCCAGAACTCCATTCCCGGGCCACATTCTGGAATGCCCGGAGCCAACTGTAGGCCACTTCGTGCTCTTCGAGTTCCCAGAACTCCATTCCCGGGCCACATTTTGGATGCCCGGAGCCAACTGTAGGCCACTTCGTGGTCTTCGAGTTCCCAGAACTCCATTCCCGGGCCACATTTTGAATGCCCGGAGCCAACTGTAGGCCACTTCGTGCTCTTGGACTTCCCAGAACTCCATTCCTGGGTATGATTTTGAATGCCCGGAGCAACTGTAGGCCACTTCGTGTTCTTCGAGTTCCCAGAATTCCATTCCCTGGCCACATTTTGAATGCTGAGGCAGGCTGAGGCTGAGGCTGAGGCAGGCTGAGGCAGGCTGAGGCAGGCTGAGGCTGAGGCCGAGGCTGAAGGCAGACTGAGGCTGAGGCTGATGCAGGCTGAGGCTGAGGCTGAAGCAGGCTGAGGCTGAGGCTGCAGGCTGAGGCTGAGGCAGGCTGAGGCTGAGCTGAGGCTGATGCAGGCTGAGGCTGAGGCAGGCTGAGCTGAGGCTGCTGAGGCAGGCTGAGACTAAGCCGAGGCTGAAGGCAGATTGAGGCTGAGGCTGAAGCAGGCTGAGGCTGAGGCTGAGGCTGAGGCAGGCTGAGGCTGAGGCTGAGGCAGGCTGATGCTGAGGCAGGCTGAGGCTGAGGCTGAGGCTGATGCAGGCTGAGGCTGAGGCAGGCTGAGGCTGAGGCCGAGGCTGAAGGCAGACTGATGAGGCTGAAGCAGGCTGAGGCTGAGGCAGAGGCAGGCTGAGGCTGAGGCAGGCTGATGCTGAGGCAGGCTGAGGCTGAGGCTGAGGCTGATGCAGGCTGAGGCTGAGGCAGGCTGAGACTGAGGCCGAGGCTGAGGCAGACTGAGGCTGAGGCTGAAGCAGGCTGAAGAGGCAGGCTGAGGCTGAGGCTGAGGCAGGCTGATGCTGAGGCAGGCTGAGGCTGAGGCTGAGGCTGATGCAGGCTGAGGCTGAGGCAGGCTGAGGCTGAGGCCAAGGCTGAAGGCAGACTGAGGCTCTGGCTGAAGGCTGAGGCTGAGGCTGAGGCTGAGGCAGGCTGAGGCTGAGGCTGAGGCAGGCTGATGCTGAGCAGGCTGAGGCTGAGGCTGAGGCTCATGCAGGCTGAGGCTGAGGCCGAGGCTGAGGCCGAGGCTGAAGGCAGACTGAGGCTGAGGCTGAGCAGGCTGAGGCTGAGGCTGAGGCTGAGGCAGGCTGAGGCTGAGGCTGAGGCTGAGGCTGAGGCAGGCTGAGGCTGAGGCTGAGGCTGATGCAGGCTGAGGCAGGCTGAGGCTGAGGCCGAGGCTGAAGGCAGACTGAGGCTGAGGCTGAAGCAGGCTGAGGCTGAGGCTGAGGCAGGCTGGGGCTGAGGCTGAGGCAGGCTGATGCTGAGGCAGGCTGAGGCTGAGGCTGAGGCTGCAGGCTGAGGCTGAGGCAGGCTGAGGCTGAGGCCGAGGCTGAAGGCAGACTGAGGCTGAGCTGAAGCAGGCTGAGGCTGAGGCTGAGGAGGCTGAAGGCAGACTGAGGCTGAGAGTGAAGCAGGCTGAGGCTGAGGCTGAGGCAGGCTGAGGCTGAGGCTGAGGCAGGCTGATGCTGAGGCAGGCTGAGGCTGAGGCTCAGGCTGAAGGAAGACTGATGCTGAGGCAGGCTGAGGCTGAGGCTGAGGCTGATGCAGGCTGAGCTGGGGCTGAGGCAGGCTGAGGCTGCGGCCGAGGCTGAAGGCAGGCTGAGGCTGAGGCTGAAGCAGGCTGAGGCTGAGGCTGAGGCTGAGGCTGAGGCCGAGGCTGAGGCTGGCTGATGCTGAAGCAGGCTGAGGCTGT